ACCGGATACAATGCCGGACTCCGTGCTACTACTGAATTTTTTTGAAAAAGCCCTGTAATACTTAGCCCATCTCGGGAATCGAACCGGAGACCCGTTACGGGCAGTCGCACTTGCGACCACTCAATTGCAGTCAGTATCGTTATTGAAATGGTAATAATAAATGGCATATGTATAAATACCAAGATAACATTAAATGTGTCTAAGTTTTCGTGCGACATACTTACTTTCAAATACTGGAAGTTTATCTATTTTTTCATTTAATTTCTTTTGAAGATAAAGAGTATAATTGGCTTCATCCATTAAATACTGTGCGGGTACCCAACCTTTTTCTTCCGTTAGATGTTTACGTACAAACCACCAATCCTGATTGGTAGTTTCTGAAAATAAAGAGATTTTTAAACATTTGCTACTCTACTCTGTGGAATTACATACATATTTAGTGTTATAAAAATTGTTTTTATTTTTACCTAATATATATAATCGTTCGCCTTCAACTAAATTAATAGCCTCGTCTGTTTCCGCAACATATGAATAAACAGCAAAAACGGTATCACCACTACGAACGTCGACAGGAGTTTCTGAAAAAGAAAAAGTTTAGTTTACCTAAATTTTAGACACTAATCTTAAAAATGCAGTCGTATAAATCTGACGTTTATAATAGAAGCTAATTTTTATCGAAAACTTCGCAGACGAACCTACCTAGAACTCTAAGTTTAATTCGGTAATGTGGTACAGTTAAAGTTAAAGCGACAAGGACTATAAAAAGCCACGCTTTTTTCTTTTTTGAGGTGTAACGTGAGAGGGAGTGTCAGACTTTTAATGACTAAAACTCACCACCGTTCCTACTTCTGCTTTGAACAGAAAGCCATGCTATCCATTCTGTTCTATTGAAAAAGTTTGAGTGTACAAAAATGACCGTATATTCTTAGAAGGTACTTTCTTACTTTTAGTAATTATGTTTTCTTTGGTTAAATAACCTCAAAACTTATGTAAATTAGAATTAAAATGACAGAAAAACAAAAATTATGTAAGGTATCCTTACTACTTACCAGGAAATTCTTGTTCTCTAGAAATGCTCATCGATACGTCGGCTTCTGGAAACAAAGATGTCAAGTTGTTAGTTACCTATATAATTGGTTTATTATTATGATATTCGTTATTTTAAAGCGACACAATTAAAGCTAATTATTTTGCGTATTTTAAAACATGCTAGCAAATTTGCTTTTATAATTTAGTTTTTCACTTTATGCTACTACTTTTTAAATCGAGCAATTTTTTATGATAATTCGTTTAGTAGATTACGCATAGTACATTTTAAAATAATATTATTATGGTTTGAATTGGGTGAGTAAATTTTATCAGAATTTATGCAACAGACCTCGTGTTTCTATATACTTTTATTGAATTATTTAGGTTATAAAGGTGACTGAAAAAACAAAACGCAACTACAAGCCGTTAATTTGAACATAAGTTAAACAATTATATATATTAAATATTTGTATTGCATTTCATACTTAAAGCTTATTATTAAACGGCTAAAATATTAAGCATCTTTGATCACTGTTGTCTAAATAAATGCAATACCTTCCAATTTTGAGGGCTTTCTAGGTTTTCTTTTAGCTGAAATAGTAATTTGTTCTTCTTCAAAAGCATCCTCATTGATTCTTTTGGGTTTTAACTCAACACTTAGTTCTTCTACTTCGCTAACTTCATATACCGGTTTTTTTGGTTTACGTCTAATAAACATTTGTACATTTTCATCGGCTTCAGTTTCGCTTAGTATTACTTCTTCTGCTTGGCTGTCATCCTCTATTTCTTGTTTAAGTTGTATTAGAGTTTCGTCGGCAGCTTCTGATATAGTCATTTTTTTCTTAGGTTTCAGTTTAATTTTACTCGAGAGTGACAATTCTTCTTGAGTATATTGTTCTGATTGTGGTTTTACATCAAATGTTACCTCTTCTTGTTCGTCAACTATATATTTTGGCTTTCTATCCAATTTAATGTTGACATCCTGGGAAACATCGGTTTCATTATCTTCTTTCTTTGGCTTTGGTATTGTAACCGAAGAAGATATTTCTTCCAATGATGTATCTTGCAGTTCTTTAATTTTTTTGAAAGGCATAACGATATTAGATGTTTCCTCAGATTTTTCGTCATCGCTCTCTAATATTTCAATAACATCGGGTGGTTCGTCATTTTCTTCGTAAAATTTGATAGAAGTTTCATTTGCTTCTTCATTGAAAGTAGGTCGTCTCTGTGGTTTGAGTTTTACTTTACTTGACATAGATATTTCTTCTTCAGCGTAGGAATCTAGCTGTATGTTAAATTCCTGTTCAACATCTTCTTTTGTCTTCGTAGTTTTTGGCCTGAAAGTAACTGTTTCAGGTTCAGTGACTTCAGGTAGTGTAACTGAAGGTTTTCTTATCGATTTTAGTTTCTTTTTTATTGTTACTTCATCTTCAATTTCTTCGGTTTTTTTAATACTTGGACGTTTTGGTTTAATCGTAAACTGTTGGGGTTCATCTTCTACTGGTTCCTCAAGTAATGATTCATCTTTTTCTACCCCTTGGTTTTTAGCTTCTACTATATCTTCATAATCAAACATTGGTTTCTCCAACTCAGTTTTTTCAATTTCAGGTAGTTTCGGCTGTTTATATACTTTTTTCTTTATTTTTTCTGCTTCTTTAACGTTTCTGGATAGTATTCCGTTTTGACGAATACTACCTAAAAATGTAACAGTGGGCATTATTAAACTGGGTGGCCAATCATTAACGTATTTTATTCTGCTTTTTAACTGGAATTTTGGTAAGGTCACCAAAGGCGCTTCTGGTTTTGGTTTGGCTGTTGGTTTTTTCAATTTCAACTTAATAAATTGAGGACCTTCAATATTTTCTGCATGTTGTGGTTTACTGAGTTCTACTTCTTTTCTTTCTATTTTAATAGGAGTAAGTTTGACTTTGGTTGGCTTTTTCTCTGGTTTATCTTCATTTTCTGGTACATTTTCTGATGTTATCGTTAAAGGCTTGGGTTGGCTATCTTTCTGTTTTATTTTCTTTGCTTTGGTTTTATTTTTAGTTACTAAAGTTGTAGTGTCATCCTCAGATATAATATCAGGTTCAGGTCTTCGGGTAGTATCGGGTTCTTTCTCGTTTTCTTGCTGCTCGTAAGCTTCCGTTGTTTCTTCTGGTTCGACAGGCTTAACTTCCGAATCCATATCTTGTAACGAAGGCTTTCTGGTTTTCTCCTTAGGTTTAGTTTTTGATTTCTTTTGTGTAGGCTTTTCAGTCACATGTGCAACTGGTACTTCATCTGATTGCTTTGAAAGTTGAATTTCATCTGTTTGATTTGTGGCTGGTTTTTCATCTGGTTGTTGTGAGGATGTTGTTTCAACTGGTTGTTTTAAGGGTGTTATTTCATCTGGCTGTTTTGAGACTGGTTTTTCATCTAGTTGTTTTGCTGTTGGCTTATCCAAATCTTTTGATTTTAAATTTTTCTTTTTTGGTTTTTGTTTACTTTGCTTTAAATCTTGTGGTTCAATGTAATCTCGTTTATCATCAGGTATATTGTCTGTTTCTTTAGGAGATTCCATCGGGACAGATTTATCTTCGTCAATTTCATTGTCATCAACATTTTCTTGTGGGCTAGCTTCTGGCTCCTTGGTTTTTTCTTCTGTACTAGTTTTGTCCTGCAATATTATTTCTTTCGGTTTTGGTGTCTTATCTTTCTTATTTTGAATATTTTCAATAATTTGATCAGTTTGAACATGTTTCTTAGCATCTGGCACAGTCTCACTGGAATTTATTTCTTTTACATCGTTGGTTTCCTCTTTTTTCAATTCTATTGGTTTTTCCGATGAGAAATCGAATTCTTCTGGTTTTTCCAATTCAACTTTGTCCAATTCAGGTATCTCTGTTACTTTAGGTGGTTTCTTTTTCAATTTAGCGGCCTCCTTAATATTTCTTGAGAGTTGGCCATTTTGTCTTACACTGCCCAAAAATGTTATAACAGGTTTTAATTCTGAAGGGGGCCATTCTGAGTTATACCTGATGCGACTCTTAAGTTGAACTTTCGGTAAGGTGACTGTTTTTAGTTCCTGTTTGGGTTTTTGTGTAGGTTTTTTTAGTTTAAGTTTCGTAAACTGAGGACCGTCTACTTCTGTTGCATGTTGAGCTTCATCCATAATAATTTCTTCAATTTTTAAAGGAATTGGTTTTATTTTTTTACTTTTAACGGATTTTTCAACAGGTACAGTTTCTGTAGGATGTGGTTTTTGTATCTGTTCACCATCACGTTCATCGCTAATTTCTGTAAGAAGAAATATTATTCGACATTAATACAAACACATAGCAAAATTTCAAGAAACTTGAACAGTAAAAAACTAGTAAAGTATTTGTATATAAATGTGATAATTAAGATAATGTATGTGCCTGAGTATTACGACAAAATGACTCAGATATATCTGTAAATAAAATAAAACTACAGTGGTGGTTGACAGGGTATGAAAATAAAAAAAATATTAGTCCGCCAGTAAGATAATGATAAATGTTAGACACTTATTTTTATTTTGTCATTAAAAAGTAAACAATACTTAGAAACGAAATACCTTTAGAAGTGGGATTGACGTTTTTATAAGACGTAGCAACTCGTGACGTCACGCGATATTTCAAATCATTGTATTGACGAAAGTATTTAACACGATGACTGTGCATGACCCACGGGTGGGGCATATCGAGTTGCTAATTGTACCTCTACGTGCATGACCTATCGGTGGGGCATGCCTTTACGAGATTATACGTGCATGCCACACGGATGGGGCTTACATTTACGAGATCATACGTGATGGACGGATGGGTCAATAAATAAAAATATTATTTACACGAAGGGGGTATAAAAAAATTAAAAACAATGCTATTATAATATCAGTTTTATAACTCACAATCAACAATTTGCATTTACACTTATGGGAATAGCCTCGCTCATCATGAGCGAGGCTATTCCCATCATGCACGTAGAGGTACAATTAGCAACTCGATATGCCCCACCCGTGGGTCATGCACAGCGAACGTGTTAATTTTGTAAGAAAATAAATACGGTTCGGTTCGGTAACCTTGGTGCATATTTGTAACCTGAAAATTCGGGTTCTTCCTCGACTGATTTCGATTTTTAGGTTTGTGTAAATGCATGAGAGGTGTGGTGGTCTCATCAGTGTATTCGTGTGTGGTGTGTACTGTGATGATGGGTTGTGTGTCATCAGTGTGTTCTGTGGTGATGTGTGTGGTTTCTACTTTAGGGCCTACCTTCTTTTTGATAACGCGTTTGATAACTTTCTTTTGTACTTTCTTACCGTCTGGCGTCGTGGTCTCCTCGACGGAGGTTTCCTCAGGCAGCTCGACGACTTTAACGGGCACGTCTTCTATTTCTTCAGGAGCCTCTTGCTCAGTGACCGTAACAGTCGTGATAGGAGCTTCGTCGTCCTTCTCGATGGTTGTGATTTCGGTTATCTCTTGTTTGGGTCCCTTCGGTTTTTTAATGACGCGTTTAGTGGTTTTAACCTTTTGTACGTCTCCGGTTTCAGTGCGAACTTGTGTAACCTGAACAGTCTCGGGTTGTTCCTCGACTGGTTCGGCTTTTTGGGGTTTGTGTAACTCTTCAAGAGGTGTGGTGGTCTCATCAGTGTATTCGTGTGTGGTGTGTACTGTGATGATGGGTTGTGTGTCATCAGTGTGTTCTGTGGTGATGTGTGTGGTTTCTACTTTAGGGCCTACCTTCTTTTTGATAACGCGTTTGATAACTTTCTTTTGTACTTTCTTACCGTCTGGCGTCGTGGTCTCCTCGACGGAGGTTTCCTCAGGCAGCTCGACGACTTTAACGGGCTCGTCTTCTATTTCTTTAGGAGCCTCTTGCTCAATGACCGTAACAGTCGTGATAGGAGCTTCGTCGTCCTTCTCGATGGTTGTGATTTCGGTTATCTCTTGTTTGGGTCCCTTCGGTTTTTTAATGACGCGTTTAGTCGTTTTAACCTTTTGTACGTCTCCGGTTTCAGTGCGAACTTGTGTGACCTGGACAGTCTCGGGTTGTTCCTCGACTGGCACGGCTTTTTGAAGTTCGTGTAACTCTTCAAGAGGTGTGGTGGTCTCATCAGTGTATTCGTGTGTGGTGTGTACTGTGATGATGGGTTGTGTGTCATCAGTGTGTTCTGTGGTGATGTGTGTGGTTTCTACTTTAGGGCCTACCTTCTTTTTGATAACGCGTTTGATAACTTTCTTTTGTACTTTCTTACCGTCTGGCGTCGTGGTCTCCTCGACGGAGGTTTCCTCAGGCAGCTCGACGACTTTAACGGGCTCGTCTTCTATTTCTTCAGGAGCCTCTTGCTCAGTGACCGTAACAGTCGTGATAGGAGCTTCGTCGTCCTTCTCGATGGTTGTGATTTCGGTTATCTCTTGTTTGGGTCCCTTCGGTTTTTTAATGACGCGTTTAGTGGTTTTAACCTTTTGTACGTCTCCGGTTTCAGTGCGAACTTGTGCGACCTGAACAGTCTCGGGTTGTTCCTCGACTGGTTCGGCTTTTTGGGGTTTGTGTAACTCTTCAAGAGGTGTGGTGGTCTCATCAGTGTATTCGTGTGTGGTGTGTACTGTGATGATGGGTTGTGTGTCATCAGTGTGTTCTGTGGTGATGTGTGTGGTTTCTACTTTAGGGCCTACCTTCTTTTTGATAACGCGTTTGATAACTTTCTTTTGTACTTTCTTACCGTCTGGCGTCGTGGTCTCCTCGACGGAGGTTTCCTCAGGCAACTCGACGACTTTAACGGGCTCGTCTTCTATTTCTTCAGGAGCCTCTTGCTCAGTGACCGTAACAGTCGTGATAGGAGCTTCGTCGTCCTTCTCGATGGTTGTGATTTCGGTTATCTCTTGTTTGGGTCCTTTCGGTTTTTTAATAACGCGTTTGGTGGTTTTAACCTTTTGTACGTCTCCGGTTTCAGTTCGAACTTGTGTAACCTGAACAGTCTCGGGTTGTTCCTCGACTAGTTCGGCTTTTTGGGGTTTGTGTAACTCTTCAAGAGGTGTGGTGATCTCATCAGTGTATTCGTGTGTGGTGTGTACTGTGATGATGGGTTGTGTGTCATCAGTGTGTTCTGTGATGATGTGTGTGGTTTCTACTTTAGGGCCTACCTTCTTTTTGATAACGCGTTTGGTAACTTTCTTTTGTACTTTCTTACCGTCTGGCGTCGTGGTCTCCTCGACGGAGGTTTCCTCAGGCAGCTCGACGACTTTAACGGGCTCGTCTTCTATTTCTTCAGGAGCCTCTTGCTCAGTGACCGTAACAGTCGTGATAGGAGCTTCGTCGTCCTTCTCGATGGTTGTGATTTCGGTTATCTCTTGTTTGGGTCCTTTCGGTTTTTTAATGACGCGTTTAGTGGTTTTAACCTTTTGTACGTCTCCGGTTTCAGTGCGAACTTGTGTAACCTGAACAGTCTCGGGTTGTTCCTCGACTAGTTCGGCTTTTTGAGGATTGTGTAACTCTTCAAGAGGTGTGGTGATCTCATCAGTGTATTCGTGTGTGGTGTGTACTGTGATGATGGGTTGTGTGTCATCAGTGTGTTCTGTGGTGATGTGTGTGGTTTCTACTTTAGGACCTACCTTCTTTTTGATAACGCGTTTGATAACTTTCTTTTGTACTTTCTTACCGTCTGGCGTCGTGGTCTCCTCGACGGAGGTTTCCTCAGGCAACTCGACGACTTTAACGGGCTCGTCTTCTATTTCTTCAGGAGCCTCTTGCTCAGTGACCGTAACAGTCGTGATAGGAGCTTCGTCGTCCTTCTCGATGGTTGTGATTTCGGTTATCTCTTGTTTGGGTCCCTTCGGTTTTTTAATGACGCGTTTAGTGGTTTTAACCTTTTGTAAATCTCCGGTTTCAGTGCGAACTTGTGTAACCTGGACAGTCTCGGGTTGTTCCTCAACTGGTTCGGCTCTGCCAGGTGTGTGTAAGTCTTCAAGAGGTGTGGTGGTTTCGTCAGTGAATTCCTCTGTATTGTGTACAGTGATAATGGGTTGTGAGTCATCCGTCTGTTCTGTGGTGATGTGTGTGGTTTCTACTTTAGGGCCTACCTTCTTTTTGATAACGCGTTTGATAACTTTCTTTTGTACTTTCTTACCGTCTGGCGTCGTGGTCTCCTCGACGGAGGTTTCCTCAGGCAACTCGACGACTTTAACGGGCTCGTCTTCTATTTCTTCAGGAGCCTCTTGCTCAGTGACCGTAACAGTCGTGATAGGAGCTTCGTCGTCCTTCTCGATGGTTGTGATTTCGGTTATCTCTTGTTTGGGTCCTTTCGGTTTTTTAATAACCCGTTTAGTGGTTTTAACCTTTTGTACGTCTCCGGTTTCAGTTCGAACTTGTGTAACCTGAACAGTCTCGGGTTGTTCCTCGACTAGTTCGGCTTTTTGGGGTTTGTGTAACTCTTCAAGAGGTGTGGTGATCTCATCAGTGTATTCGTGTGTGGTGTGTACTGTGATGATGGGTTGTGTGTCATCAGTGTGTTCTGTGGTGATGTGTGTGGTTTCTACTTTAGGACCTACCTTCTTTTTGATAACGCGTTTGATAACTTTCTTTTGTACTTTCTTACCGTCTGGCGTCGTGGTCTCCTCGACGGAGGTTTCCTCAGGCAACTCGACGACTTTAACGGGCTCGTCTTCTATTTCTTCAGGAGCCTCTTGCTCAGTGACCGTAACAGTCGTGATAGGAGCTTCGTCGTCCTTCTCGATGGTTGTGATTTCGGTTATCTCTTGTTTGGGTCCCTTCGGTTTTTTAATGACGCGTTTAGTGGTTTTAACCTTTTGTACGTCTCCGGTTTCAGTGCGAACTTGTGTAACCTGGACAGTCTCGGGCTGTTCCTCAACTGGTTCGGCTCTGCCAGGTGTGTGTAAGTCTTCAAGAGGTGTGGTTTCGTCAGTGAATTCCTCTGTTTTGTGTACAGTGATAATGGGTTGTGAGTCATCCGTCTGTTCTGTGGTGATGTGTGTGGTTTCTACTTTAGGGCCTATCTTCTTTTTGATAACGCGTTTGATAACTTTCTTTTGTACTTTCTTACCGTCTGGCGTCGTGGTCTCCTCGACGGAGGTTTCCTCAGGCAACTCGACGACTTTAACGGGCTTGTCTTTTATTTCTTCAGGAGCCTCTTGCTCAGTGACCGTAACAGTCGTGATAGGAGCTTCGTCGTCCTTCTCGATGGTTGTGATTTCGGTTATCTCTTGTTTGGGTCCCTTCGGTTTTTTAATGACGCGTTTAGTCGTTTTAACCTTTTGTACGTCTCCGGTTTCAGTGCGAACTTGTGTGACCTGGACAGTCTCGGGTTGTTCCTCGACTGGCACGGCTTTTTGAGGTTTGTGTAACTCTTCAAGAGGTGTGGTGGTCTCATCAGTGTATTCGTGTGTGGTGTGTACTGTGATGATGGGTTGTGTGTCATCAGTGTGTTCTGTGGTGATGTGTGTGGTTTCTACTTTAGGGCCTACCTTCTTTTTGATAACGCGTTTGATAACTTTCTTTTGTACTTTCTTACCGTCTGGCGTCGTGGTCTCCTCGACGGAGGTTTCCTCAGGCAGCTCGACGACTTTAACGGGCTCGTCTTCTATTTCTTCAGGAGCCTCTTGCTCAGTGACCGTAACAGTCGTGATAGGAGCTTCGTCGTCCTTCTCGATGGTTGTGATTTCGGTTATCTCTTGTTTGGGTCCCTTCGGTTTTTTAATGACGCGTTTAGTGGTTTTAACCTTTTGTACGTCTCCGGTTTCAGTGCGAACTTGTGTAACCTGAACAGTCTCGGGTTGTTCCTCGACTGGCACGACTTTTTGAGGTTTGCGTAATTCTTCAAGAGGTGTGGTGGTCTCATCAGTGTATTCGTGTGTGGTGTGTACTGTGATGATGGGTTGTGTGTCATCAGTGTGTTCTGTGGTGATGTGTGTGGTTTCTACTTTAGGGCCTACCTTCTTTTTGATAACGCGTTTGATAACTCTCTTTTGTACTTTCTTACCGTCTGGCGTCGTGGTCTCCTCGACGGAGGTTTCCTCAGGCAACTCGACGACTTTAACGGGCACGTCTTCTATTTCTTCAGGAGCCTCTTGCTCAGTGACCGTAACAGTCGTGATAGGAGCTTCGTCGTCCTTCTCGATGGTTGTGATTTCGGTTATCTCTTGTTTGGGTCCCTTCGGTTTTTTAATGACGCGTTTAGTGGTTTTAACCTTTTGTACGTCTCCGGTTTCAGTGCGAACTTGTGTGACCTGGACAGTCTCGGGTTGTTCCTCGACTGGCACGGCTTTTTGAGGTTTGTGTAACTCTTCAAGAGGTGTGGTGGTCTCATCAGTGTATTCGTGTGTGGTGTGTACTATGATGATGGGTTGTGTGTCATCAGTGTGTTCTGTGGTGATGTGTGTGGTTTCTACTTTAGGGCCTACCTTCTTTTTGATAACGCGTTTGATAACTTTCTTTTGTACTTTCTTACCGTCTGGCGTCGTGGTCTCCTCGACGGAGGTTTCCTCAGGCAACTCGACGACTTTAACGGGCTCGTCTTCTATTTCTTCAGGAGCCTCTTGCTCAGTGACCGTAACAGTCGTGATAGGAGCTTCGTCGTCCTTCTCGATGGTTGTGATTTCGGTTATCTCTTGTTTGGGTCCCTTCGGTTTTTTAATGACGCGTTTAGTAGTTTTAACCTTTTGTACGTCTCCGGTTTCAGTGCGAACTTGTGTGACCTGAACAGTCTCGGGTTGTTCCTCGACTGGCTCGGCTTTTTGGGGTTTGTGTAACTCTTCAAGAGGTGTGGTGGTCTCATCAGTGTATTCGTGTGTGGTGTGTACTGTGATGATGGGTTGTGTGTCATCAGTGTGTTCTGTGGTGATGTGTGTGGTTTCTACTTTAGGGCCTACCTTCTTTTTGATAACGCGTTTGATAACTCTCTTTTGTACTTTCTTACCGTCTGGCGTCGTAGTCTCCTCGACGGAGGTTTCCTCAGGCAACTCGACGACTTTAACGGGCACGTCTTCTATTTCTTCAGGAGCCTCTTGCTCAGTGACCGTAACAGTCGTGATAGGAGCTTCGTCGTCCTTCTCGATGGTTGTGATTTCGGTTATCTCTTGTTTGGGTCCCTTCGGTTTTTTAATGACGCGTTTAGTGGTTTTAACCTTTTGTACGTCTCCGGTTTCAGTGCGAACTTGTGTAACCTGGACAGTCTCGGGTTGTTCCTCAACTGGTTCGGCTCTGCCAGGTGTGTGTAAGTCTTCAAGAGGTGTGGTGGTTTCGTCAGTGAATTCCTCTGTTTTGTGTACAGTGATAATGGGTTGTGAGTCATCCGTCTGTTCTGTGGTGATGTGTGTGGTTTCTACTTTAGGGCCTACCTTCTTTTTGATAACGCGTTTGATAACTTTCTTTTGTACTTTCTTACCGTCTGGCGTCGTGGTCTCCTCGACGGAGGTTTCCTCAGGCAACTCGACGACTTTAACGGGCTCGTCTTCTATTTCTTCAGGAGCCTCTTGCTCAGTGACCGTAACAGTCGTGATAGGAGCTTCGTCGTCCTTCTCGATGGTTGTGATTTCGGTTATCTCTTGTTTGGGTCCCTTCGGTTTTTTAATGACGCGTTTAGTGGTTTTAACCTTTTGTACGTCTCCGGTTTCAGTGCGAACTTGTGTAACCTGAACAGTCTCGGGTTGTTCCTCGACTGGTTCGGCTTTTTGGGGTTTGTGTAACTCTTCAAGAGGTGTGGTGGTCTCATCAGTGTATTCGTGTGTGGTGTGTACTGTGATGATGGGTTGTGTGTCGTCAGTGTGTTCTGTGGTGATATGTGTGGTTTCTACTTTAGGGCCTACCTTCTTTTTGATAACGCGTTTGATAACTTTCTTTTGTACTTTCTTACCGTCTGGCGTCGTGGTCTCCTCGACGGAGGTTTCCTCAGGCAGCTCGACGACTTTAACGGGCTCGTCTTCTATTTCTTCAGGAGCCTCTTGCTCAGTGACCGTAACAGTCGTGATAGGAGCTTCGTCGTCCTTCTCGATGGTTGTGATTTCGGTTATCTCTTGTTTGGGTCCCTTCGGTTTTTTAATGACGCGTTTAGTGGTTTTAACCTTTTGTACGTCTCCGGTTTCAGTGCGAACTTGTGTAACCTGGACAGTCTCGGGCTGTTCCTCAACTGGTTCGGCTCTGCCAGGTGTGTGTAAGTCTTCAAGAGGTGTGGTGGTTTCGTCAGTGAATTCCTCTGTTTTGTGTACAGTGATAATGGGTTGTGAGTCATCCGTCTGTTCTGTGGTGATGTGTGTGGTTTCTACTTTAGGGCCTACCTTCTTTTTGATAACGCGTTTGATAACTTTCTTTTGTACTTTCTTACCGTCTGGCGTCGTGGTCTCCTCGACGGAGGTTTCCTCAGGCAGCTCGACGACTTTAACGGGCTCGTCTTCTATTTCTTCAGGAGCCTCTTGCTCAGTGACCGTAACAGTCGTGATAGGAGCTTCGTCGTCCTTCTCGATGGTTGTGATTTCGGTTATCTCTTGTTTGGGTCCCTTCGGTTTTTTAATGACGCGTTTAGTCGTTTTAACCTTTTGTACGTCTCCGGTTTCAGTGCGAACTTGTGTGACCTGAACAGTCTCGGGTTGTTCCTCGACTGGCTCGGCTTTTTGGGGTTTGTGTAACTCTTCAAGAGGTGTGGTGGTCTCATCAGTGTATTCGTGTTTGGTGTGTACTGTGATGATGGGTTGTGTGTCATCAGTGTGTTCTGTGGTGATGTGTGTGGTTTCTACTTTAGGGCCTACCTTCTTTTTGATAACGCGTTTGATAACTTTCTTTTGTACTTTCTTACCGTCTGGCGTCGTGGTCTCCTCGACGGAGGTTTCCTCAGGCAACTCGACGACTTTAACGGGCTCGTCTTCTATTTCTTCAGGAGCCTCTTGCTCAGTGACCGTAACAGTCGTGATAGGAGCTTCGTCGTCCTTCTCGATGGTTGTGATTTCGGTTATCTCTTGTTTGGGTCCTTTCGGTTTTTTAATGACGCGTTTAGTGGTTTTAACCTTTTGTACGTCTCCGGTTTCAGTGCGAACTTGTGTAACCTGGACAGTCTCGGGTTGTTCCTCAACTGGTTCGGCTCTGCCAGGTGTGTGTAAGTCTTCAAGAGGTGTGGTGGTTTCGTCAGTGAATTCCTCTGTTTTGTGTACAGTGATAATGGGTTGTGAGTCATCCGTCTGTTCTGTGGTGATGTGTGTGGTTTCTACTTTAGGGCCTACCTTCTTTTTGATAACGCGTTTGATAACTTTCTTTTGTACTTTCTTACCGTCTGGCGTCGTGGTCTCCTCGACGGAGGTTTCCTCAGGCAACTCGACGACTTTAACGGGCTTGTCTTCTATTTCTTCAGGAGCCTCTTGCTCAGTGACCGTAACAGTCGTGATAGGAGCTTCGTCGTCCTTCTCGATGGTTGTGATTTCGGTTATCTCTTGTTTGGGTCCCTTCGGTTTTTTAATGACGCGTTTAGTGGTTTTAACCTTTTGTACGTCTCCGGTTTCAGTGCGAACTTGTGTAACCTGAACAGTCTCGGGTTGTTCCTCGACTGGTTCGGCTTTTTGGGGTTTGTGTAACTCTTCAAGAGGTGTGGTGGTCTCATCAGTGTATTCGTGTGTGGTGTGTACTGTGATGATGGGTTGTGTGTCGTCAGTGTGTTCTGTGGTGATATGTGTGGTTTCTACTTTAGGGCCTACCTTCTTTTTGATAACGCGTTTGATAACTTTCTTTTGTACTTTCTTACCGTCTGGCGTCGTGGTCTCCTCGACGGAGGTTTCCTCAGGCAGCTCGACGACTTTAACGTCGTCTTCTATTTCTTTAGGAGCCTCTTGCTCAGTGACCGTAACAGTCGTGATAGGAGCTTCGTCGTCCTTCTCGATGGTTGTGATTTCGGTTATCTCTTGTTTGGGTCCCTTCGGTTTTTTAATGACGCGTTTAGTCGTTTTAACCTTTTGTACGTCTCCGGTTTCAGTGCGAACTTGTGTGACCTGAACAGTCTCGGGTTGTTCCTCGACTGGCTCGGCTTTTGGGTTTGTGTAACTCTTCAAGAGGTGTGGTCTCATCAGTGTATTCGTGTTTGGTGTGTACTGTGATGATGGGTTGTGTCATCAGTGTGTTCTGTGGTGATGTGTGTGGTTTCTACTTTAGGGCCTACCTTCTTTTGATAACGCGTTTGATAACTTTCTTTTGTACTTTCTTACCGTCTGGCGTCGTGGTCTCCTCGACGGAGGTTTCCTCAGGCAACTCGACGACTTTAACGGGCTCGTCTTCTATTTCTTCAGGAGCCTCTTGCTCAGTGACCGTAACAGTCGTGATAGGAGCTTCGTCGTCCTTCTCGATGGTTGTGATTTCGGTTATCTCTTGTTTGGGTCCTTCGGTTTTTTAATGACGCGTTTAGTGGTTTTAACCTTTTGTACGTCTCCGGTTTCAGTGCGAACTTGTGTAACCTGGACAGTCTCGGATTGTTCCTCAACTGGTTCGGCTGCCAGGTTGTGTAAGTCTTCAAGAGGTGTGGTGGTTTCGTCAGTGAATTCCTCTGTTTTGTGTACAGTGATAATGGGTTGTGAGTCATCTGTCTGTTCTGTGGTGATGTGTGTGGTTTCTACTTTAGGGCCTACCTTCTTTTTGATAACGCGTTTGATAACTTTCTTTTGTACTTTCTTACCGTCTGGCGTCGTGGTCTCCTCGACGGAGGTTTCCTCAGGCAACTCGACGACTTTAACGGGCTCGTCTTCTATTTCTTCAGGAGCCTCTTGCTCAGTGACCGTAACAGTCGTGATAGGAGCTTCGTCGTCCTTCTCGATGGTTGTGATTTCGGTTATCTCTTGTTTGGTTCCTTTCGGTTTTTTAATGACGCGTTTAGTGGTTTTAACCTTTTGTACGTCTCCGGTTTCAGTGCGAACTTGTGTGACCTGAACAGTCTCGGGTTGTTCCTCGACTGGTTCGGCTCTGTCAGGTTTGTGTAAGTCTTCAAGAGGTGTGGTGGTTTCGTCAGTGAATTCCTCTGTTTTGTGTACAGTGATAATGGGTTGTGAGTCATCTGTCTGTTCTGTGGTGATTTCTGTGGTTTCGAGTTTCGGACCTACCTTCTTTTTGATAACGCGTTTAGTAATTTTCTTTTGTTTGGGCTTACCGTCAGGAGCAGTGGATTCCTCAACAGTCGTTTCTTCAGGCAGTTCCACGACTTCGACGGGCTTTGTTTCTTCTGGAGTTCGTTCCTCGGTTACTGTGACCGTCGTTATCGGAGCTTTGTCGTCTTGTTCGACGGTTGTGATTTCAGTAACTTCTTGCTTCGGTCCCTTCTGCTTTTTGATGATACGTTTTGTGGTTTTGATTTTTTTGATGTCTCCGGTGTCTGTACGTACTTGTGTAATCTGAACAGTCTCGGGTTGTTCTTCGACTGGTTCGGCTCTGTCAGGTTTGTGTAAGTCTTCAAGAGGTGTGGTGGTTTCCTCAGTGAATTCCTCTGTTTTGTGTACAGTGATAATGGGTTGTGAGTCATCTGTCTGTTCTGTGGTGATTTCTGTGGTTTCGAGTTTCGGACCTACCTTCTTTTTGATAACGCGTTTAGTAATTTTCGTTTGGGCTTACCGTCAGAGCGTGGATTCCTCGACAGTCGTTTCTTCAGGCAGTTCCACGACTTCGACGGGCTCCGTTTCTTCTGGAGTTCGTTCCTCGGTTACTGTGACCGTCGTTATCGGAGCTTTGTCGTCTTGTTCGACGGTTGTGATTTCAGTAACTTCTTGCTTCGGTCCCTTCTGCTTTTTAATGACGCGTTTGGTAGTTTTGACTTTTTTAACGTCGCCAGATTCAGTGCGTAATTGTGTGACCTGAACAGTCTCGGGTTGTTCCTCGACTGGTTCAGCTTTTTGTAATGTGTGTAAGTGTTCAAGAGGTGTGGTGGTTTCGTCAGTGTGTTCCTCTGTTTTGTGTACAGTGATAATGGGTTGTGAGTCATCTGTCTGTTCTGTGGTGATTTCTGTGGTTTCGAGTTTCGGACCTACCTTCTTTTTGATGACGCGTTTAGTAATTTTCTTTTGTTTGGGCTTACCGTCAGGAGCAGTGGATTCCTCGAAAGTAGTTTCTTCAGGCATTTCCACGACTTCGACGGGCTTTGTTTCTTCTGGAGTTCTTTCCTCGGTTACTGTGACCGTCGTTATCGGAGCTTCGTCATCTTGTTCGACGGTTGTGATTTCAGTAACTTCTTGCTTAGGTCCCTTCTGTTTTTTAATGACGCGTTTGGTAGTTTTGACTTTTTTAACGTCGCCAGATTCAGTGCGTAATTGTGTAACCTGAACAGTCTCGGGTTGTTCCTCGACTGGTTCAGCTTTTTGTAATGTGTGTAAGTGTTCAAGAGGTGTGGTGGTTTCGTCAGTGTGTTCCTCTGTTTTGTGTACAGTGATAATGGGTTGTGAGTCATCTGTCTGTTCTGTGGTGATTTCTGTGGTTTCGAGTTTCGGGCCTACCTTCTTTTTGATAATGCGTTTAGTAATTTTCTTTTGTTTGGGCTTACCGTCAGGAGCAGTGGATTCCTCGACAGTCGTTTCTTCAGGCAGTTCCACGACTTCGACGGGCTCCGTTTCTTCTGGAGTTCGTTCCTCGGTTACTGTGACCGTCGTTATCGGAGCTTTGTCGTCTTGTTCGACGGTTGTGATTTCAGTAACTTCTTGCTTCGGTCCCTTCTGCTTTTTGATGATACGTTTTGTGGTTTTGATTTTTTTGATGTCTCCGGTGTCTGTACGTACTTGTGTAATCTGAACAGTCTCGGGTTGTTCCTCGACTGGTTCGGCTCTGTCAGGTTTGTGTAAGTCTTCAAGAGGTGTGGTGGTTTCGTCAGTGAATTCCTCTGTTTTGTGTACAGTGATAATGGGTTGTGAGTCATCTGTCTGTTCTGTGGTGATTTCTGTGGTTTCGAGTTTCGGACCTACCTTCTTTTTGATGACGCGTTTAGTAATTTTCTTTTGTTTGGGCTTACCGTCAGGAGCAGTGGATTCTTCGACAGTCGTTTCTTCAGGCAGTTCCACGACTTCGACGGCCTTTGTTTCTTCTGGAGTTCTTTCCTCGGTTACTGTGACCGTCGTTATCGGAGCTTCGTCATCTTGTTCGACGGTTGTGATTTCAGTAACTTCTTGCTTAGGTCCCTTCTGTTTTTTAATGACGCGTTTGGTAGTTTTGACTTTTTTAACGTCGCCAGATTCAGTGCGTAATTGTGTAACCTGAACAGTCTCGGGTTGTTCCTCGACTGGTTCAGCTTTTTGTAATGTGTGTAAGTGTTCAAGAGGTGTGGTGGTTTCGTCAGTGTGTTCCTCTGTTTTGTGTACAGTGATAATGGGTTGTGAGTCATCTGTCTGTTCTGTGGTGATTTCTGTGGTTTCGAGTTTCGGACCTACCTTCTTTTTGATAACGCGTTTAGTAATTTTCTTTTGTTTGGGCTTACCGTCAGGAGCAGTGGATTCCTCGACAGTCGTTTCTTCAGGCAGTTCCACGACTTCGACGGGCTTTGTTTCTTCTGGAGTTCTTTCCTCGGTTACTGTGACCGTCGTTATCGGAGCTTCGTCGTCTTGTTCGACGGTTGTGATTTCAGTGACTTCTTGCTTAGGTCCCTTCTGTTTCTTAATGACGCGTTTGGTTGTTTTGACTTTTTTGACGTCGCCAGATTCAGTGCGTATTTGTGTAACTTGAACAGTCTCGGGTTGTTCTCGACTGGTTCGGCTCTGTCAGGTTTGTGTAAGTCTTCAAGGGTGGGTGGTGGTTTCGTCAGTGAATTCCTCTGTTTTGTGTACAGTGATAATGGGTTGTGAGTCATCTGTCTGTTCTGTGGTGATTTCTGTGGTTTCGAGTTTCGGACCTACCTTCTTTTTGATGACGCGTTTAGTAATTTTCTTTTGTTTGGGCTTACCGTCAGGAGCAGTGGATTCCTCGACAGTCGTTTCTTCAGGCAGTTCGACGACTTCGACGGGCTCCGTTTCTTCTGGAGTCTTTTCCTCGGTAACAATGACTGTGGTTATTGGAGCTTCGTCGTCTTGTTGGACGGTCGTGATTTCAGTGACTTCTTGCTTAGGTCCCTTCTGCTTTTTGATGACACGTTTGGTGGTTTTGACTTTTTTGATGTCTCCGGTGTCTGTACGTACTTGTGTGACCTGAACAGTCTCGGGTTGTTCCTCGACTGGTTCGGCTCTGTCAGGTTTGTGTAAGTCTTCAAGGGGTGTGGTGGTTTCGTCAGTGATTTCCTCTGTTTTGTGTACAGTGATAATGGGTTGTGAGTCATCTGTCTGTTCTGTGGTGATTTCTGTGGTTTCGAGTTTTGGACCTACCTTCTTTTTGATGACGCGTTTAGTATTTTCTTTTGTTTGGGCTTACCGTCAGGAGCAGTGGATTCTTCGACAGTCGTTTTTCAGGCAGTTCCCAGACTTCGACGGGCTTGTTTCTTCTGGAGTTCTTTCCTCGGTTACTGTGACCGTCGTTATCGGGGCTTCGTCGTCTTGTTCGACGGTGTGATTTCAGTGACTTCTTGCTTAGGTCCCTTCTGTTTTTAATGACGCGTTTGGTTGTTTTGACTTTTTTGACGTCGCCAGATTCAGTGCGTATTTGTGTAACTTGAACAGTCTCGGTTGTTCCTCGACTGGTTCGGCTCTGTCAGGTTTGTGTAAGTCTTCAAGGGTGTGGTGGTTTCGTCTGTGAGTTCCTTGTTTTGTGTACAGTGATAATGGGTTGTGAGTCATCTGTCTGTTCTGTGGTGATTTCTGTGGTTTCGAGTTTCGGGACCTACCTTCTTTTGAACGCGTTTAGTATTTTCTTTGTTTGGGCTTACCGTCAGGAGCAGTGGATTCCTCGACAGTCGTTTCTTCAGGCAGTTCCACGACTTCGACGGGCTTTGTTTCTTCTGGAGTTCTTTCCTGGTTACTGTGACCGTCGTTATCGGAGCTTCGTGGTCTTGTTCGTGTTGTGATTTCAGTGACTTCTTGCTTAGGTCCCTTCTGTTTCTTAATGACGCGTTTGGTTGTTTTGACTTTTTTGACGTCGCCAGATTCAGTGCGTATGTGTAACTTGAACAGTCTCGGGTTGTTCCTCGACTGGTTCGGCTCTATCAGGTTTGTGTAAGTCTTCAAGGGGTGTGGTGGTTTCGTCTGTGAGTTCCTCTGTTTTGTGTACAGTGATAATGGGTTGTGAGTCATCTGTCTGTTCTGTGGTGATTTCTGTGGTTTCGAGTTTCGGACCTACCTTCTTTTTGATGACGCGTTTAGTAATTTTCTTTTGTTTGGGCTTACCGTCAGGAGCACTGGATTCTTCGACAGTCGTTTCTTCAGGCAGTTCCACGACTTCGACGGGCTTTGTTTCTTCTGGAGTTCTTTCCTCGGTTACTGTGACCGTCGTTATCGGAGCTTCGTCGTCTTGTTCGACGGTTGTGATTTCAGTGACTTCTTGCTTAGGTCCCTTCTGCTTTTTGATGACACGTTTGGTGGTTTTGACTTTTTTGATGTCTCCGGTGTCTGTACGTACTTGTGTGACCTGAACAGTCTCGGGTTGTTCCTCGACTGGTTCGGCTCTGTCAGGTTTGTGTAAGTCTTCAAGGGGTGTGGTGGTTTCGTCTGTGAGTTCCTCTGTTTTGTGTACAGTGATAATGGGTTGTGAGTCATCTGTCTGTTCTGTGGTGATTTCTGTGGTTTCGAGTTTTGGACCTACCTTCTTTTTGATAACGCGTTTAGTAATTTTCTTTTGTTTGGGCTTACCGTCAGGAGCAGTGGATTCCTCGACAGTCGTTTCTTCAGGCAGTTCCACGACTTCGACGGGCTTTGTTTCTTCTGGAGTTCTTTCCTCGGTTACTGTGACCGTCGTTATCGGAGCTTCGTCGTCTTGTTCGACGGTTGTGATTTCAGTGACTTCTTGCTTAGGTCCCTTCTGTTTCTTAATGACGCGTTTGGTTGTTTTGACTTTTTTGACGTCGCCAGATTCAGTGCGTATTTGTGTAACTTGAACAGTCTCGGGTTGTTCCTCGACTGGTTCGGCTCTGTCAGGTTTGTGTAAGTCTTCAAGGGGTGTGGTGGTTTCGTCTGTGTGTTCCTCTGTTTTGTGTACAGTGATAATGGGTTGTGAGTCATCTGTCTGTTCTGTGGTGATTTCTGTGGTTTCGAGTTTCGGACCTACCTTCTTTTTGATGACGCGTTTAGTAATTTTCTTTTGTTTGGGCTTACCGTCAGGAGCAGTGGATTCTTTGACAGTCGTTTCTTCAGGCAGTTCCACGACTTCGACGGGCTCCGTTTCTTCTGGAGTTCTTTCTTCGGTTACTGTGACCGTCGTTATCGGAGCTTCGTCGTCTTGTTCGACGGTTGTGATTTCAGTTACTTCTTGCTTCGGTCCCTTCTGCTTTTTGATGACACGTTTTGTGGTTTTGATTTTTTTGATGTCTCCGGTGTCTGTACGTACTTGTGTAATCTGAACAGTCTCGGGTTGTTCCTCGACTGGTTCGGCTCTGTCAGGTTTGTGTAAGTCTTCAAGGGGTGTGGTGGTTTCGTCAGTGAATTCCTCTGTTTTGTGTACAGTGATAATGGGTTGTGAGTCATCTGTCTGTTCTGTGGTGATTTCTGTGGTTTCGAGTTTCGGGCCTACCTTCTTTTTGATGACGCGTTTAGTAATTTTCTTTTGTTTGGGCTTACCGTCAGGAGCAGTGGATTCCTCGACAGTCGTTTCTTCAGGCAGTTCCACGACTTCGACGGGCTTTGTTTCTTCTGGAGTCTTTTCCTCGGTAACTGTTACTGTAGTTATCGGAGCTTCGTCGTCTTGTTCGACGGTTGTGATTTCCGTAACTTCTTGCTTCGCTCCCTTCTGCTTTTTGATGACACGTTTTGTAGTTTTGATTTTTTTAACGTCGCCAGTTTCAGTACGTGTTTGTGTGACTTGAACTGTCTCGGGTTGTTCCTCGACTGGTTCAGCCTTTTCTGGTATGTGTAAGTGTTCAAGAGGTGTGGTGGTTTCGTCAGTGATTTCCTCTGTTTTGTGTACAGTGATAATGGGTTGTGAGTCATCTGTCTGTTCTGTGGTGATTACTGTGGTTTCGAGTTTCGGACCTACCTTCTTTTTGATGACGCGTTTAGTAATTGTCTTTTGTTTGGGCTTACCGTCAGGAGCAGTGGATTCTTCGACAGTCGTTTCTTCAGGCAGTTCCACGACTTCGACGGGCTTCATTTCTTCTGGAGTGGTTTCTTCGGTTACTGTGACCGTCGTTATCGGGGCTTCATCATCTTTCACGACAGTTGTGATTTCAGTGACTTCTTGCTTAGGTCCCTTCTGTTTTTTGATGACACGTTTGGTGGTTTTAACTTTTTTGACGTCGCCATTTTCAGTGCGTATTTGTGTGACTTGAACGGTCTCGGGTTGTTCCTCGACCGGTTCAGCTTTTTCTACTGTGTGTAAGTGTTCAAGAGGTGTGGTGGTTTCGTCAGTGAGTTCCTCTGTTTTGTGTACAGTGATAATGGGTTGTGAGTCATCTGTCTGTTCTGTGGTGATTTCTGTGGTTTCGAGTTTCGGACCTACCTTCTTTTTGATGACGCGTTTAGTAATTTTCTTTTGTTTGGGCTTACCGTCAGGAGCAGTGGATTCCTCGACAGTCGTTTCTTCAGGCAGTTCCACGACTTCGACGGGCTTTGTTTCTTCTGGAGTTTTCTCGGTAACTGTTACTGTAGTTATCGGAGCTTCGTCGTCTTGTTCGACGGTTGTGATTTCCGTAACTTCTTGCTTCGCTCCCTTCTGCTTTTTGATGACACGTTTTGTAGTTTTGATTTTTTTAACGTCGCCAGTTTCAGTACGTGTTTGTGTGACTTGAACTGTCTCGGGTTGTTCCTCGACTGGTTCAGCCTTTTCTGGTATGTGTAAGTGTTCAAGAGGTGTGGTGGTTTCGTCAGTGATTTCCTCTGTTTTGTGTACAGTGATAATGGGTTGTGAGTCATCTGTCTGTTCTGTGGTGATTACTGTGGTTTCGAGTTTCGGACCTAGCTTCTTTTTGATGACGCGTTTAGTAATTGTCTTTTGTTTGGGCTTACCGTCAGGAGCAGTGGATTCTTCGACAGTCGTTTCTTCAGGCAGTTCCACGACTTCGACGGGCTTCATTTCTTCTGGAGTGGTTTCTTCGGTTACTGTGACCGTCGTTATCGGGGCTTCATCATCTTTCACGACAGTTGTGATTTCAGTGACTTCTTGCTTAGGTCCCTTCTGTTTTTTGATGACACGTTTGGTGGTTTTAACTTTTTTGACGTCGCCATTTTCAGTGCGTATTTGTGTGACTTGAACGGTCTCGGGTTGTTCCTCGACCGGTTCAGCTTTTTCTACTGTGTGTAAGTGTTCAAGAGGTGTGGTGGTTTCGTCAGTGAATTCCTCTGTTTTGTGTACAGTGATGATGGGTTGTGAGTCATCTGTCTGTTCTGTGGTGATTTCTGTGGTTTCGAGTTTCGGGCCTACCTTCTTTTTGATGACGCGTTTAGTAATTTTCTTTTGTTTGGGCTTACCGTCAGGAGCAGTGGATTCTTCGACAATCGTTTCTTCAGGCAGTTCCACGACTTCGACGGGCTTTGTTTCTTCTGGAGTTCTTTCCTCGGTTACTGTGACCGTCGTTATCGGAGCTTCGTCGTCTTGTTCGACGGTTGTGATTTCAGTGACTTCTTGCTTAGGTCCCTTCTGCTTTTTGATGACACGTTTGGTGGTTTTGACTTTTTTGATGTCTCCGGTGTCTGTACGTACTTGTGTGACCTGAACAGTCTCGGGTTGTTCCTCGACTGGTTCGGCTCTGTCAGGTTTGTGTAAGTCTTCAAGAGGTGTGGTGGTTTCGTCAGTGAATTCCTCTGTTTTGTGTACAGTGATAATGGGTTGTGAGTCATCTGTCTGTTCTGTGGTGATTTCTGTGGTTTCGAGTTTCGGGCCTACCTTCTTTTTGATGACGCGTTTAGTAATTTTCTTTTGTTTGGGCTTACCGTCAGGAGCAGTGGATTCTTCGACAGTCGTTTCTTCAGGCAGTTCCACGACTTCGACGGGCTTTGTTTCTTCTGGAGTTCTTTCCTCGGTTACTGTGACCGTCGTTATCGGAGCTTCGTCGTCTTGTTCGACGGTTGTGATTTCAGTGACTTCTTGCTTAGGTCCCTTCTGCTTTTTGATGACACGTTTGATGGTTTTGACTTTTTTGATGTCTCCAGTGTCTGTACGTACTTGTGTGACCTGAACAGTCTCGGGTTGTTCCTCGACTGGTTCGGCTCTGTCAGGTTTGTGTAAGTCTTCAAGAGGTGTGGTGGTTTCGTCAGTGAATTCCTCTGTTTTGTGTACAGTGATAATGGGTTGTGCGTCATCTGTCTGTTCTGTGGTGATTTCTGTGGTTTCGAGTTTCGGACCTACCTTCTTTTTGATAACGCGTTTAGTAATTTTCTTTTGTTTGGGCTTACCGTCAGGAGCAGTGGATTCCTCGACAGTCGTTTCTTCAGGCAGTTCCACGACTTCGACGGGCTTTGTTTCTTCTGGAGTTCTTTCCTCGGTTACTGTGACCGTCGTTATCGGAGCTTCGTCGTCTTGTTCGACGGTTGTGATTTCAGTGACTTCTTGCTTAGGTCCCTTCTGTTTCTTAATGACGCGTTTGGTTGTTTTGACTTTTTTGACGTCGCCAGATTCAGTGCGTATTTGTGTAACTTGAACAGTCTCGGGTTGTTCCTCGACTGGTTCGGCTCTGTCAGGTTTGTGTAAGTCTTCAAGGGGTGTGGTGGTTTCGTCTGTGAGTTCCTCTGTTTTGTGTACAGTGATAATGGGTTGTGAGTCATCTGTCTGTTCTGTGGTGATTTCTGTGGTTTCGAGTTTCGGACCTACCTTCTTTTTGATGACGCGTTTAGTAATTTTCTTTTGTTTGGGCTTACCGTCAGGAGCAGTGGATTCTTCGACAGTCGTTTCTTCAGGCAGTTCCACGACTTCGACGGCCTTTGTTTCTTCTGGAGTATTTTCCTCGGTTACTGTGACCGTCGTTATCGGAGCTTCGTCGTCTTGTTCGACGGTTGTGATTTCAGTGACTTCTTGCTTAGGTCCTTTCTGTTTCTTAATGACGCGTTTGGTTGTTTTGACTTTTTTGATGTCGCCAGATTCAGTGCGTATTTGTGTAACTTGAACAGTCTCGGGTTGTTCCTCGACTGGTTCGGCTCTGTCAGGTTTGTGTAAGTCTTCAAGGGGTGTGGTGGTTTCGTCAGTGAGTTCCTCTGTTTTGTGTACAGTGATAATGGGTTGTGAGTCATCTGTCTGTTCAGTGGTAATTTCTGTTGTTTCGAGTTTCGGACCTACCTTCTTTTTGATGACGCGTTTAGTAATTTTCTTTTGTTTGGGCTTACCGTCAGGAGCAGTGGATTCTTCGACAGTCGTTTCTTCAGGCAGTTCCACGACTTCGACGGGCTTTGTTTCTTCTGGAGTTCTTTCCTCGGTTACTGTGACCGTCGTTATCGGAGCTTCGTCGTCTTGTTCGACGGTTGTGATTTCAGTGACTTCTTGCTTAGGTCCCTTCTGTTTCTTAATGACGCGTTTGGTTGTTTTGACTTTTTTGACGTCGCCAGATTCAGTGCGTATTTGTGTAACTTGAACAGTCTCGGGTTGTTCCTCGACTGGTTCGGCTCTGTCAGGTTTGTGTAAGTCTTCAAGGGGTGTGGTGGTTTCGTCAGTGAATTCCTCTGTTTTGTGTACAGTGATAATGGGTTGTGAGTCATCTGTCTGTTCTGTGGTGATTTCTGTGGTTTCGAGTTTCGGGCCTACCTTCTTTTTGATGACGCGTTTAGTAATTTTCTTTTGTTTGGGCTTACCGTCAGGAGCACTGGATTCTTCGACAGTCGTTTCTTCAGGCAGTTCCACGACTTCGACGGGCTTTGTTTCTTCTGGAGTTCTTTCCTCGGTTACTGTGACCGTCGTTATCGGAGCTTCGTCGTCTTGTTCGACGGTTGTGATTTCAGTGACTTCTTGCTTAGGTCCCTTCTGCTTTTTGATGACACGTTTGGTGGTTTTGACTTTTTTGATGTCTCCGGTGTCTGTACGTACTTGTGTGACCTGAACAGTCTCGGGTTGTTCCTCGACTGGTTCGGCTCTGTCAGGTTTGTGTAAGTCTTCAAGAGGTGTGGTGGTTTCGTCAGTGAATTCCTCTGTTTTGTGTACAGTGATAATGGGCTGTGCGTCATCTGTCTGTTCTGTGGTGATTTCTGTGGTTTCGAGTTTCGGACCTACCTTCTTTTTGATAACGCGTTTAGTAATTTTCTTTTGTTTGGGCTTACCGTCAGGAGCAGTGGATTCTTCGACAGTCGTTTCTTCAGGCAGTTCCACGACTTCGACGGGCTTCGTTTCTTCTGGAGTGGTTTCTTCGGTTACTGTGACCGTCGTTATCGGAGCTTCGTCGTCTTGTTCGACGGTTGTGATTTCAGTGACTTCTCGCTTAGGTCCCTTCTGCTTTTTGATGACACGTTTGGAGGTTTTGACTTTTTTGATGTCTCCAGTGTCTGTACGTACTTGTGTAACTTGAACAGTCTCGGGTTGTTCCTCGACTGGTTCGGCTCTGTCAGGTTTGTGTAAGTCTTCAAGAGGTGTGGTGGTTTCGTCAGTGAATTCCTCTGTTTTGTGTACAGTGATAATGGGTTGTGCGTCATCTGTCTGTTCTGTGGTGATTTCTGTGGTTTCGAGTTTCGGACCTACCTTCTTTTTGATAACGCGTTTAGTAATTTTCTTTTGTTTGGGCTTACCGTCAGGAGCAGTGGATTCTTCGACAGTCGTTTCTTCAGGCAGTTCCACGACTTCGACGGGCTTCGTTTCTTCTGGAGTGGTTTCTTCGGTTACTGTGACCGTCGTTATCGGGGCTTCGTCGTCTTGTTCGACGGTTGTGATTTCAGTGACTTCTCGCTTAGGTCCCTTCTGCTTTTTGATGACACGTTTGGTGGTTTTGACTTTTTTGATGTCTCCAGTGTCTGTACGTACTTGTGTGACCTGAACAGTCTCGGGTTGTTCCTCGACTGGTTCGGCTCTGTCAGGTTTGTGTAAGTCTTCAAGAGGTGTGGTGGTTTCGTCAGTGAATTCCTCTGTTTTGTGTACAGTGATAATGGGTTGTGAGTCATCAGACTGTTCTGTGGTGATTTCTGTAGTTTCGAGTTTCGGACCTACCTTCTTTTTGATGACGCGTTTAATAATTTTCTTTTGTTTGGGCTTACCGTCAGGAGCAGTGGATTCTTCGACAGTCGTTTCTTCAGGCAGTTCCACGACTTCGACGGGCTTCGTCTCTTCTGGAGTGGTTTCTTCGGTTACTGTGACCGTCGTTATCGGAGCTTCGTCGTCTTGTTCGACGGTTGTGATTTCAGTAACTTCTCGCTTAGGTCCCTTCTGCTTTTTGATGATACGTTTGGTGGTTTTGACTTTTTTGATGTCTCCAGTGTCTGTACGTACTTGTGTGACCTGAACAGTCTCGGGTTGTTCCTCGACTGGTTCGGCTCTGTCAGGTTTGTGTAAGTCTTCAAGAGGTGTGGTGGTTTCGTCAGTGAATTCCTCTGTTTTGTGTACAGTGATAATGGGTTGTGAGTCATCAGACTGTTCTGTGGTGATTTCTGTAGTTTCGAGTTTCGGACCTACCTTCTTTTTGATGACGCGTTTAGTAATTTTCTTTTGTTTGGGCTTACCGTCAGGAGCAGTGGATTCTTCGACAGTCGTTTCTTCAGGCAGTTCCACGACTTCGACGGGCTTCGTCTCTTCTGGAGTGGTTTCTTCGGTTACTGTGACCGTCGTTATCGGAGCTTCGTCGTCTTGTTCGACGGTTGTGATTTCAGTAACTTCTCGCTTAGGTCCCTTCTGCTTTTTGATGATACGTTTGGTGGTTTTGACTTTTTTGATGTCTCCAGTGTCTGTACGTACTTGTGTGACCTGAACAGTCTCGGGTTGTTCCTCGACTGGTTCGGCTCTGTCAGGTTTGTGTAAGTCTTCAAGAGGTGTGGTGGTTTCGTCAGTGAATTCCTCTGTTTTGTGTACAGTGATAATGGGTTGTGAGTCATCAGACTGTTCTGTGGTGATTTCTGTAGTTTCGAGTTTCGGACCTACCTTCTTTTTGATGACGCGTTTAGTAATTTTCTTTTGTTTGGGCTTACCGTCAGGAGCAGTGGATTCTTCGACAGTCGTTTCTTCAGGCAGTTCCACGACTTCGACGGGCTTCGTCTCTTCTGGAGTGGTTTCTTCGGTTACTGTGACCGTCGTTATCGGAGCTTCGTCGTCTTGTTCGACGGTTGTGATTTCAGTTACTTCTCGCTTAGGTCCCTTCTGCTTTTTGATGATACGTTTGGTGGTTTTGACTTTTTTGATGTCTCCAGTGTCTGTACGTACTTGTGTGACCTGAACAGTCTCGGGTTGTTCCTCGACTGGTTCGGCTCTGTCAGGTTTGTGTAAGTCTTCAAGAGGTGTGGTGGTTTCGTCAGTGAATTCCTCTGTTTTGTGTACAGTGATAATGGGTTGTGAGTCATCAGACTGTTCTGTGGTGATTTCTGTAGTTTCGAGTTTCGGACCTACCTTCTTTTTGATGACGCGTTTAGTAATTTTCTTTTGTTTGGGCTTACCGTCAGGAGCAGTGGATTCCTCGACAGTCGTTTCTTCAGGCAGTTCCACGACTTCGACGGGCTTTGTTTCTTCTGGAGTATTTTCCTCGGTTACTGTTACTGTCGTTATCGGAGCTTCGTCGTCTTGTTCGACGGTTGTGATTTCAGTGACTTCTTGCTTAGGTCCCTTCTGCTTTTTGATGACACGTTTGGTGGTTTTTACTTTTTTGATGTCTCCGGTTTCAGTGCGTATTTGTGTAACCTGAACGGTCTCGGGTTGTTCTTCGACTGGTTCGGCTCTGTCAGGTTTGTGTAAGTCTTCAAGAGGTTTGGTGGTTTCGTCAGTGAATTCCTCTATTTTGTGTACAGTGATAATGGGTTGTGCGTCATCTGTTTGTTCTGTGGTGATTTCTGTGGTTTCGAGTTTCGGACCTACCTTCTTTTTGATAATGCGTTTAGTAATTTTCTTTTGTTTAGGCTTACCGTCAGGAGCAGTGGATTCTTCGACAGTCGTTTCTTCAGGCATTTCCACGACTTCGACGGGCTTCGTCTCTTCTGGAGTGGTTTCTTCGGTTACTGTGACCGTCGTTATCGGAGCTTCGTCGTCTTGTTCGACGGTTGTGATTTCAGTAACTTCTCGCTTAGGTCCCTTCTGCTTTTTGATGATACGTTTGGTGGTTTTGACTTTTTTGATGTCTCCAGTGTCTGTACGTACTTGTGTGACCTGAACAGTCTCGGGTTGTTCCTCGACTGGTTCGGCTCTGTCAGGTTTGTGTAAGTCTTCAAGGGGTGTGGTGGTTTCGTCAGTGAATTCCTCTGTTTTGTGTACAGTGATAATGGGTTGTGAGTCATCTGTCTGTTCTGTGGTGATTTCTGTGGTTTCGAGTTTCGGACCTTCCTTCTTTTTGATGACGCGTTTAGTAATTTTCTTTTGTTTGGGCTTACCGTCAGGAGTTGTGATTTCCTCAACTGTCGTTTCTTCAGGTAGTTCAACAACTTCAACAGGCATCATTTCTTCAGTCTCGTCTGGAGTTCTTTCTTCTGTTACTGTGACTGTCGTTATCGGGGCTTCATCATCTTTCTCGACGGTTGTGATTTCAGTGACTTCTTGCTTTGGTCCCTTCTGCTTTTTGATGACACGTTTGGTGGTTTTTACTTTTTTGATGTCTCCGGTTTCAGTGCGTATTTGTGTAACCTGAACGGTCTCGGGTTGTTCTTCGACTGGTTCGGCTCTGTCAGGTTTGTTTAAGTCTTCAAGAGGTGTGGTGGTTTCGTCAGTGAATTCCTCTGTTTTGTGTACAGTGATAATGGGTTGTGCGTCATCTGTCTGTTCTGTGGTGATTTCTGTGGTTTCGAGTTTCGGACCTACCTTCTTTTTGATGACGCGTTTAGTAATTTTCTTTTGTTTGGGCTTACCATCAGGAGCACTGGATTCTTCGACAATCGTTTCTTCAGGGAGCTCAACGACTTCAACGGGCTCCGTTTCTTCTGGAGTTCTTTCCTCGGTTACTGTGACCGTAGTTATCGGAGCTTTGTCATCTTGTTCGACGGTTGTGATTTCAGTGAGTTCTTGCTTGCCTCCCTTTTGTTTTTTGATGACGCGTTTGGTGGTTTTGACTTTTTTAATGTCTCCATTTTTAGTGCGTACTTGTGTAACCTGAACAGTCTCGGGTTGTTCCTCGACTGGTTCGGCTTTGTCAGGTTTGTGTAAGTCTTCAAGAGGTTTGGTTGTTTCGTCGATAATTTCCTCGGTTTTGTGCACGGTTATAACTGGATGTGATTCATCTGTTTGTTCTGTGGTGATCTCTGTGGTTTCAACTTTAGGACCAACCTTCTTTTTGATGACGCGTTTTGTAATTTTCTTTTGTTTGGGCTTACCGTCAGGTGCAGTGGATTCCTCGACAATCGTTTCTTCAGGGAGCTCAACGATTTCGACGGGCTTCGTTTCTTCTGGAGTCTTTTCCTCGGTTACTGTAACTGTGGTTATCGGAGCTTCGTCGTCTTGTTCGACGGTTGTGATTTCAGTGATTTCTTGCTTGGCTCCTTTGTGTTTTTTAATGACGCGTTTGGTGGTTTTGACTTTTTTGATGTCTCCAGTTTCTGTGCGTACATTTGTAACCTCAATAGTCTCGGGTTGTTCCTCGACTGGTTCCGCTCTGTCAGGTTTGTCCAAGTCTTGAAGAGGTGTTGTGGTGTCGTCAGCGATTTCTTCTGTTTTGTGTACAGTGATAATGGGTTGCAAGTCATCGGTCTGTTCTGTGGTGATTTCTGTGGTTTCGAGTTTCGGCCCTACCTTCTTTTTGATAATGCGTTTAGTAATTTTCTTTTGTTTTGGCTTACCGTCAGGTGTAGTGGATTCCTCGACAGTCGTTTCTTCAGGCATTTCCACGACTTCGACGGGCTTCGTTTCTTCTGGAGTGGTTTCTTCGGTTACTGTGACCGTCGTTATCGGAGCTTCGTCGTCTTGTTCGACGGTTGTGATTTCAGTAACTTCTTGCTTAGGTCCCTTCTGTTTCCTAATGACGCGTTTGGTAGTTTTGACTGTTTTGATGTCTCCAGTTTCTGTGCGTACTTGTGTAACCTGAACAGTCTCGGGTTGTTCCTCGACTGGTTCGGCTTTGTCAGGTTTGTGTAAGTCTTCAAGAGGTTTGGTGGTTTCGTCGATAATTTCCTCGGTTTTGTGCACGGTTATAACTGGATGTGATTCATCTGTTTGTTCTGTGGTGATCTCTGTGGTTTCAACTTTAGGACCAACCTTCTTTTTGATGACGCGTTTGGTAATTTTCTTTTGTTTTGGCTTACCATCAGGTGCAGTGGATTCCTCGACAATCGTTTCTTCAGGGAGCTCAACGATTTCGACGGGTTTCGTTTCTTCTGGAGTCTTTTCCTCGGTTACTGTAACTGTGGTTATCGGAGCTTCGTCGTCTTGTTCGACGGTTGTGATTTCAGTGATTTCTTGCTTGGCTCCTTTGTGTTTTTTAATGACGCGTTTGGTTGTTTTGACTTTTTTGATGTCTCCAGTTTCTGTACGTACATTTGTAACCTCAACAGTCTCGGGTTGTTCTTCGACTGGTTCCGCTCTGTGAGGTTTGTCCAAGTCTTGAAGAGGTGTTGTGGTTTCGTCAGCGATTTCCTCTGTTTTGTGTACAGTGATAATGGGTTGTGAGTCATCTGTCTGTTCTGTGGTGATTTCTGTGGTTTCGAGTTTCGGACCTAATTTCTTTTTGATTATGCGTTTAGTAATTTTCTTTTGTTTTGGCTTACCGTCAGGTGTAGTGGATTCCTCGACAGTCGTTTCTTCAGGCAGTTCCACGACTTCGACGGGCTTCGTTTCTTCTGGAGTCTTTGTCTCGGTTACTGTGACTGTCGTTATCGGGGCTTCATCTCCTTTCTGGACGGTTGTGATTTCAGTAACTTCTTGCTTAGGTCCCTTTTGTTTCCTAATGACGCGTTTGGTAGTTTTGACTGTTTGGATGTTTCCAGTTTCTGTGCGTACTTGTGTAACCTGAACAGTCTCGGGTTGTTCCTCGACTGGTTCGGCTCTGTCCGGTTTGTGTAAGTCTTCAAGAGGTGTAGTCGTTTCATCAGCTATTTCTTCTGTTTTGTGTACAGTGATAATGGGTTGTGAGTCATCTGTCTGTTCTGTGGTGATTTCTGTTGTTTCTAGTTTTGGACCTACCTTCTTTTTGATCACGCGTTTGGAAATTTTCTTTTGTTTGGGCTTACCGTCAGGTGTAGTCGATTCTTCGAAAATCGTTTCTTCAGGCAGTTCAACGATTTTAACAGGCTTCGTTTCTTCTGGAGTATTTTGCTCGATTACTGTGACCGTTGTTATAGGAGCTTCGTCATCTTTCTCGACGGTTGTGATTTCAGTGACTTCTTGCTTGGTTCCTTTTTGTTTTTTGATGACGCGTTTGGTGGTTTTAATTTTTTTGATGTCTCCAGTTTCTGTGCGTACTTGTGTAACCTGAACAGTCTCGGGTTGTTCCTCGACTGGTTCGGGTCTGTCAGGTTTGTGTAAGTCTTCAAGAGGTATGGTGGTTTCGTCAGCGATTTCCTCTGTTTTGTGTACAGTGATAATGGGTTGTGAGTCATCTGTCTGTTCAGTGGTAATTTCTGTTGTTTCGAGTTTCGGACCTACTTTCTTTTTGATCACGCGTTTAGTAATTTTCTTTTGTTTGGGCTTACCGTCTGGTGTAGTGGATTCTTCGACAGTCGTTTCTTCAGGCAGTTCCACAACTTCGACGGGCTTCGTTTCTTCTGGAGTGGTTTCTTCGGTTACTGTGACTGTCGTTATCGGAGCTTCGTCGTCTTGTTCGACGGTTGTAATTTCAGTGACTTCTCGCTTAGGTCCCTTCTGCTTTTTGATGACACGTTTGGTGGTTTTGACTTTTTTGATGTCTCCAGTGTCTGTACGTACTTGTGTGACCTGAACAGTCTCGGGTTGTTCCTCGACTGGTTCGGCTTTGTCAGGTTTGTGTAAGTCTTCAAGAGGTTTGATGGTTTCGTCGATATTTTCCTCGGTTTTGTGTACGGTTACAATGGGTTGTGAGTCATCTGTTTGTTCTGTGGTGATTTCTGTGGTTTCAACATTAGGACCTACCTTCTTTTTGATTATACGTTTAGTAATTTTCTTTTGTTTGGGCTTACCATCAGGTGCAGTGGGTTCCTCAACAATTGTTTCGTCTGGGAGCTCTTCTGTTTCTTGTAGTATCTGAGAATCTTTGCTTATTACTTTTCTTGTGTGTTTTTTCTGTAATTTTTTACTCATTGCAGGTTCCTCGTTGTCAGTGTCATTTAATTCTTCAACGATTATAGGTGACTTTTCTTCTAGTAATTCTTCGATTTCAACCTGTGCTGTCATTTTAGGTATTGGCAAAAATTCATCGGGCATTTCTATTGTGCTTTTTTCAGTTATATCCGTCTCATTTATCTCATCTCCATCGTATTCTACAATATTTAAGTCATGACTTAAATCTACCTTTGGTGTCTTCGCGTCGTCGTCCTCTAAAGTTTCTTCAATTACAATGTCGCCCTGTTCAGAATCACTATGCTTCGTTCTTTTCTTTTTTCTCAAAATTGTTCGCTTTGTTTTTATTTGTATTGGTTCATACTGACCTGGGGCTTGCACGAACTTCGTTATGATTTCTTCACTTTCTTCTACATCGGATGATTTTGCTGAAGATTGTGTCACCTCTGCAATTATCATTGTTTTCATGATTATAAAAACTGTTATCATTTTTAATCAATTTCTGAAACATTCGTCATTACTAATTAAGTGCTAAATGCTTTGTTTTTGAAGTGATTTTGAATTTTATTTAAATTAAGTTATTCAATTTTCTGAAATGTAATCTTTTGTGAACGTTGATACTGTATAGATATTTATTTTACTATTATTTTCGATTAGCAAAAGGTAAAGTATATACGGTAACATTAAAGGTAAAGTACGTAGTTTGTTGACTACCTAATGCACTAGTGAACTTTTTACAATCTTAATACGAACTGTTGAGCCAATGCAGGTTGTTCGATAAGTATGGACAGTTCATATCATGATGATAAATAAGTGCTTTTAACTTTCTTTGTCGACTACAACTACTTATACTTCGCTACTTATGTATCAGATATTATAAAAGTGAGCTATAGGTACCTTGCAAGATATTACCTATGTAGCTATGAATGGCAATGCCACATGTCGCATTATAAATTGTATAAGTATGTATATAATCGTATATACATACTTATGCAATTTATAATGTTTGCCACGCGTATCGACGCGTGGCAAACAAATAATAAATTAGTATAAAATTGTTACAACTTGGTCCTTATCTATTTTCCCCTGATGTGTAATGTATTTTTATCTGTCCTATTTCGAATTTATTTGCCCAAACTCGATCAGATTCATAATCTCCCTTATAAGAGATATATAAGAATCATAGCAAATAGCGTTCCATAGTCTCTGCTTACCCCATAGTGACAGGCGTGTTGTTATATACATATATAACAAAGTGGGATATATATTCATACATACATATCCTTACTAATATTATAAATAGGAAAGTGAGTTTGTTTGTTTGTTCCGCTTTCACGCCATAACTACTAAACCGATTGCTTTGAATTTTTGCAGATGTATAGTTAGAAGTCCGGATTAAATAATAGGGTACTTTTTATCCCGGAAAAATTTGATATTCCCGAGGGAAAACAAAAGTATTGGTATTGATGGCGCTGTGTGTATTGGTATATCTCACATGGGCTTTATATCCTGTTGTGACGCGAGCGAAGCCGCGGGTAAAAGCTAGTGTATGAATATTTGGAAATCACGGGTGGACATATTTTGACACTAAATGTTCATCAGATATTCTTATCGGTCTCATGTAATAGGGTTCGTATGCCCTTGACCAAGAACATTTTCAGACTGGCTATTGAGAAATTTATGAAAAACTTATATATATTATATCTGACACATTTTATTTCGAAATTGCTCTTGTAATCAGCCGACAAATGAGAATATCAACTACAATCAATGAAAATAATAATGTATTATATTGGATGTCTCATATACAGTTTGTTTGTACTGATGAGTAATGAGACAAAGGTCTCAAAGAAACGAGAAACGAACTCAATTAATAATGAATTTATCAAATACTAGCTGTTCCCCGTGACTTCGTCCGCGTATAATAATGATTTCTGGCAAAATTTGGATTCATTTTCATAAATATGAATTAAGGTTGAACCGTTTTAGTTTTGTATCATTATGTAATTTAAACTAATTGAATGTTAAACTTACCATGAATTTGAGAATCCTGTTCTGTAATCAAAATGTCATGACGGTCTTCTTCAGTGGTGGTTGTTTTACTCTCCAAAAACAATGGCTCCTTTTCGATGTATGGTAAAGCTTGTTCATCGATAAATTCAGTTGAAACCTCGATTTCATTGGCCACTGTGAAGCTTTTACTTATTTTTTGCTTTTTGGTTTCAGGTATGTGTAACTCTGTTTCATGTTGAAAACTTTCACTGTCTGTAATTATTAGCGGCGTTACAGTTGTGGGTGTGATTTTGGTGGTTTCAGTCTGTGTTTTTGGTGTTACCAATTCTTTTACTTGAGTTTCTGCAACGTTTTCAGTGCACTGTACGTGTGTTAATAAAGTTACAGATTTTTCAGCTTTTACAGGTTTTATTTGATCTGATTTGAAAGTGTCTGGTGAATCTTCTTGTGTTACTTCATCAACCGATATACTTTCTTTGGTGCTCAAAGATATCGATGCTTTTTCTAAAGGTAGTAATTGTTCAAAGTTGGTATTAATTTCTCTCTCATGAACTACTACGGAACTTTGATTTATAGGAATCATTTCAATATGCTTTCCAAGAATGTTTGTTTCTTTCTGATCTTCTGATTTTAAAGAAGAAGTATTTTCACCTGTTATTACTTCTATTTGTTCTACTGGTTTCATTTCCAGGAACTGTTCTGTTATTTCTTTTATTGATTCACTCGTAACTATTAGGTTGGACGGTGTTTCTTGTGTTACATTTTCACTTACAACACAAGACTTGTAAGTTTCAACATCAAAAGAGGCTGTATTTGTTTCAGGTTTGGTAAAGAAAGGTAATTCTCCAACTTTTTCAATAATATCGGGTTGCATTTTTGATATTTCTTGCAGTGCTACGTGGCTTTCTGCAGCCTTTTCTGTTTTATGTTCATCTAGAGTTTCAAAAGATTCCGGTTTTTCTCCTGTTATGATTTCCAAGTGCTGAACTGATTTCATTTCATTAATCGTCTTGTCGGCTTTTTTATATGTGTCATCGCGACTTGTTAACTCATTAGAAACTTCATGAATTAAATTCTCAGTAGTAGTGTAACTTTTATGTAGTTCAAGTTCATATCGAATTTCACCTTCAGTGGGTTTGAAATTAACATCAATATTCTTTAAAGTTTCAATAGGCTGTAGTTGAAGGTTAATCAATTCACTTAAAGGTGCTTGCTTTGGCAAAGCTTTTTCGTCTTTGGTAGTTTCATCTTGTAAAATTTCGTATTCTTCGATCGGTACAGTTTCCGTTGTAGTAATATGATCAATGGATTTAATATCCACTTGGTGTTTACCTAAAATTGGAACATTTTCAATCTTCATGTCGTGCTCTTTCTCTTCTCCTACAGTACTTATTACAGTAATATGTTGTTTTGGTTCGATAGAAATTCCTGATACTTCTTTTTGTGGAGTAGTTTCACTGGGCAAAGTAGTTTCTGATTCCTTTATAGTGATTTCTTCAATTTGAATTGGTAAATTAGCGACGAAACTTTCTTCAACCTGCTTAACTGAAGTTATTTCTTTATTATCTATCAGCTGTTCCTTCTCTGTAATTTCTACTTCCGTAATAGTTAGATGCTGACCTTCTTCTAATTTAACAGAGGGAATGTGTCCCTTTAATTTTTCCATAGCATTGATTTCTGTTGGTCTTTCTTCGTATTTTGTTTCTTGAACGAATAATGGTCTGACTGATTCTACACTAACATTACCAATTTCTTCTTTTTTACTATCAAACAAATCTATATTTTCTTCAACTTCCGATACCTGTGCTACTTCTATATTTACATGCTTATGTGTAGTTAAGCTTACATTATTAGTAACCGCTTTTGGCAATGTAGTTTGTTTTAAAATGTCTTCTTTTTCAGCAAATACATTTTCTGATATATTTAAACAATCGGTGGGTTCTACGCTTATACCGACTTGAGAATATTTAGTTTCACTCTGCGATTCTAACGACTCTTCTTTTTCATTTACAGTTGTCTCATTTACACCTACACCTGTGTGCATTGGTACATCTAGCATAGGAGTTATTGATTTAGTGTCTGGGAGCTCTTTTGGTAGGAAAACTTCTTCTTTATCAGATGATGTGATTTGAGTAACATTAACGTAATTTTTACTTTGAACACTTAAAGCAACTGTTTCACCTTTAATTGGTGTCTTGGTTTCCAATTTCGTTTCGGCTTCTGTAACAATTGTTTCTGTAATATCGATTGACTTTTGTTCATCTATAATACCAGTTGGTTTTCGAATAGTCGGCATTGCATTTTCATAAATGTCTTCTGATTCACATACATATGGTTGACTTTTTTCAATAGCTACTTGTAGGCCATGAGTAGCTGCTGCACATGTTTTTGTAGTTTTAGGTGTAAGAAGGTCTTCAGTATCTTGATTCACTATTACTTCAGTACTTAGAATAGATTGTTTTTCATTTACAGAGAAAAGAGCACTTGTACTGAAAGGCTCTGACGACTGAATGAATTGATTTTCTTTTTCTGTAGTGACAATTTCAGTTACTTCTTTAGCTGTTGCTTCAATAATATTTTCTGTGGCCTTATATTTATCTGTTTTGGACTCTGTGAAAGTTGTTTCTTTTTCCGCAGTCAATATTTCAGTTCTCTCTAAATGTCTCTTTTGTAATTCATCCTGCGTTAGCAAAGCTTTGGAAGTTTTGAAGGAAATATCTTTGATATTTTCGACGGTACTTGAAGCTATTACCTCGGTATTAATTGAACTGCTATAAGGAACAAAACCAACTAAAGCATCTCGTTTTGGCTGTAATGCTTCAGCATCTAAAGCTTTTTCTTTGTCTATTGTTTCCGTGTAGCTGGTTATTAAAGCTTCAGTTTCTGTAAAGTCACCACTTATAGATGATGCTGTAACTGGTTGTTCATTTATTAACGTTTCGCTTTCGCCTAATACTATTTCCATTTGTTGAACTGTATTTTTAAATATAGGAGTTATATTTGAATTTTGTAATACTATTTTCTCATTATTGAACTCTTCAAGTACCTCGCCGGTGATAACTTCTTCAGTAAAAGCGGTTTTAGTATATACATCGTCAATTTTTGGTGATATCGTTTTGTAATCCATTATTAAGCTGTTTTTATCCTCAACATTGTCAGAATGAGAAACAACTTCTGAAGTTTGTAAACTTTGTTGACAAATTATAGATAACTCTGCTAGTTGATCGTCAGGTGTTTTACTAGTAGGTAATGTATTTTCTTGTTCTATAGCTATTCTTTCATCATATAGGGGAGCTTGCAAGGTTGTTAAAGATATATTCGGTAGTGTTAATTTATCAGCATCTTTCTTGATAAATTGTTCTTCTGATAAGTGAACCATAACTTCTTGTTGTGATATAGCTTCTATTACGGTTGCTTCTTGTTTGGCTGTAGCGTGCAATAAATTACTTTTGTCTTCCAATGCCTCGGGTACCATTTCTGTTCTGTTTTCTTCGATTAAGATAGCCTGGTTTGAGTCAATATTTAATGATGCTAAGAATGTATTAACTTTGAGAGTAGCATCTAATTCATCTTCTTTTTCATTATAATCAGTTGTATTAACAATCAATTCATTATACGTAATATTTTGCACATTAGCGGTTTTCAAGGCCTCTTTAGCAGCTACATCAGTGAAACCTACAGATGAATCCACTGTAACCTCTGACAATACAGCAACTGGCCTGCCAACAATATCGGTCGATGCTTTAAATGTTTGTGGCTTAGAATCCTTATCGTAATCACTTTCTTTTTCATGATGCACTGTTTCTGTGATGTTAAGAATCTCTTCTGATGGAATTATTTCAGGTTTTAGGGACTTAAAATCAGGTTTATTATCATTTTGCATGACGGATTGACTATCTAAAGGTTCATTCTGAGATATTTGTACAGATATTAAATGACTAGAAGATACATGTGCTTCCTCGTGGTTGGGAATCATCGGCGCAAGATCCGAAAGTGTATCACGGGAATTTACTTCTGAAACTACCGCAATTTTGCGATCTGAATCAATTTCTACCTTGGCGAAAATATTTGGCTTTGATTCATCTTTTTCCAAACCTTGTTCGCGTAAGCTAGTTATTACTTCTGTAACATTCAAACTTTCTTTCTCTATATATACAGCTTGAGCTTCACTTTCGGGAATTTTATTTTCTTGCAATTGTTGAATTTGGTCCTCTACGTTTGTTTGAAGAACGGTTATTTCTTTTTGCAAATCCCTTAATTCTGAAGCTGTTTCAGTTAGATTTGGTTGTTTGGCTAAGAAGTTGATTTGATCAGCTGTATTTATTTCTTGAGAAATTGGAGTTTTTAAAGGATGACTAGATGCTGCTTGAGCATTAACCGTATCTGGAATCTTATTTAAAGTCAATTTATTTTCACATTCCGAGGATTCTATTTCGGAAACGGTTATTGGTATACTAGGTACGAGCGATGATACTACAGCTTCGGGTTTTTTCGATGTGTATTCTTCTGTGGATTCTTTATCGTGTATAAGAGGATATGATACAATTTTAGCGTTAGATGTTATCAAAGATTCAGTTGCAGAATCTTTTATTGGATTTTCATACGTTTTTATGTCATCAGTAAAAGTCATTTCTAATGTTTCAGATGTAATCAAAGGTTCAAAAGCTTTGAAATCTAAATCTGCTTTGGCTGTTACTTTTTCATCCTTCAAAATGAGATCTTTTTCACTTTCATGAACATTTACTTCATCCACGACATTTTTATCTAAAGTTGTTATCGCAATATCAGCACGTGAACCAAGATTTGGTCGTGTTTCTTCTAAAAGTGTCTCTGAATCATGTACGTTTGTTTCTAAATTAAATTTATGTTGTAGTTCATTAACACCAATAGTGGCTTTTTTAAGACTCATAGCGTCAGGGATAAATTCTGATTCTTTAATATGTGAAGTGGTGACTGTGTTGTGTAGGCTAGAAAGTAACATTATATCTTTATTGACAGAAACTAGGGCTGGCATTTCTTTTATAGGAAATTCTCCTTCTTTTTCATGTAGTTCTTCGACAGATACCACTAAACTATCTTTGGATGCAATATCTACGTTTGCCTCTTGCGCTGGTGGTAATTTAAGTGCCGATAAAAGCCCTTCACGCTCTTGTACATTGTGAACTTCTGTTACAACTTGATTTGAGACAAGTACATCTTTCCTTGCCATTTCAGTGGGAACTATCAATTCAGGATAATATTTTCCTGATTTATCTTCAACAAATACTTCACCAACTTGTAATGATTCTAATAAATTGAAATTTAGTTTAGACGTTGCTGCTTTTTCAATGTTCATAGTTTCCACATTACTTTCTTTTATTTGTTCAGTAATTTCTAGAACGTTTAGGCCTACCAAAGGCGAAAATGCAACTGTTGCATTTGATTTCTTTGTTGGTAACTCATGTAGAGGGGTTTCTTTCAAAGATACCATTTCTTCCGTAATATTAATTGCATCTTTGAGTAACACAGTAGTTTTTGCCGTTTCTGGAAGTTTTCCTTCTTTTTTAATGTCTGATGTTGTCATACTAGCGAGAGTTTCTGTTGTAACAAATGATTCCGACGGTACAACGCTTTTGCTTGCAATATTTCCGACAGTACCTTTACTTGTCTGATAGTCATCGACAGAACCGCTTGTTTCGATTTGTGTCACTACTAAAGGTTCAATTTCGTTTAATGACGGCTTTATACTTAATTTTACATTATCTTTAATCTGTAACTGTGTTTCTTTCTCATGTATTTCATGTACGTCAGCAATCAAAGAATAATTGGTATCTAATTTTAAGTTTGCTTTTATATCAGGAACAATCTTATCAGTCAGAATATGTGTCACCTGACTAGAAGGCACTATTTCAACTTTACTTTCGGAAATATCCGTAGCAACTGCAGAAACGTATGGAATCTCATCACTTTCAAGAATATCAGTTTTATCTTCATCATAATGTTCTTGCTTTTCTTTTGGATGCATTGGTTTCAAGTTAATTTGCTCCTCCGCTGCTATTTCTTCTGACTGGAGTTCATCAATAATTTTTTTCTGTTTAGTGTGTTTTTTGCGTTTGACTTGTTCTCTTTCTTTGATATCTGTGAAATTATAGTAGAGTGTTTGAAGTGAATCATAATATAAATAGTACACTTATTGGAATCAGTAAATAAGTATGTTATTTCAAATGTGTCTAAATCGAATGAGTATTTTGTAGATACATTGTGAGGATACTGAGTGACACTATATCTAATATGTAATTTAAATATGTAAGAGCAAAACGTTAATATTACTTACTTTTACTGTATCTTGACTCACACGTCAGTTTAGTTAAATAATATTATTCAAATCGAAGCACATTCTTGAAGCCATACGAAGTAAATAAATGCTGCATAAAATAAGATTACACACAATTAAGCTTCATTAAGCGAAAAGCCTGACGTATTGGTAAACACATGTATGCATGTCGAAGTTTAATAATATATCAAATATTTTTATGAGACGCAGTAAAACTTTTAAAGGGAATTTGTTGTGTTAGGTAATACAAAAACAAATATACCCTTTTTAAATATTAAAGTGGGAATGAATAACTACCCTGTAATCCATTAGTACAATATTATCTTTATTGTCAAAAAGTTTAAATACTTTAAAATAATCGGGAGTTCTGATTATGATACATTTCTTTGGGCATAAATTCATTTTAACACATACTCTTGTGAATCCTATTCGAAGATGAATGAAGAAAAAGTAATACCAAAATGCACAATAATTGTATAAATAATAATCAATAATTAATCGGCAACACTGAATAACAGAGAGTGCTGATATTAAATGATAAATGACATTCAAAACACATACAAATGCTAACTGGAATCCCACATGTTGCCCTTTAAATTACTAAAGTCTGACCGCTCAAGGCTCTTGAGAAAAAATAATAACCAATGATGTTCTTCTCTTCAATGTTATTTCGGTAGTAAGAAAGCAGCAGATATGGAGCTTCTTATATTAAAGCTGTTCTGTTTGTATCATAGTTTATTAATAATCTAAACTAGATATGCATTCATTACTTTTCATGCATAGAATCCATTCAAAGCGAATATTAAAAAAGTAACATTTGTAACCTACCTTGAACGACTTCTTCTTGAATTTCGGAGGTATCTAAAACAAGGTAATTGTTGATTAGTAGGGCAAAACGTTCGGAAAAATAGACTAGGGTCCTCTTTGGACCCTAAATAAACCCATGTTCTATAGTAACACAGCATCACATCAACAGCATATAATTGGTCACTGCTGAAATGCTGATCAAAGGCCTCATCTCCACGGAGTAATGGTGACATGTAATGGTAATGGAAATCGGTTCATACAACCGATGTAACTGTTATGAACAATAGATTTTTTATAATATTACCTTTTATTACTGTCGTTGTATGTACTTCCGCTACCTGTTCAGCCGATGACTCCACAACAACCTGAAATTCATCATGGAATGAAATACACTTTGATGTGCTGTCTAGTCACTCTACCTTCTCTATAATAAATAAAATTTGGTAGAGACTAGTTTTCATTTAGCAAGGTTATTATTTTAAGAAAATACGTACATCTCATGGGGTATCGTTACGTATTTAATTACAAAATAAGAAATAAAATTTACAAGCCATGATAACTTAAAAGTAAACAAAATAGTTTGCATTTTGTATGAAAAGCAAATACTATGTCAACAGCTAAATATTTTTTTACGTGGTTGGGAATGGGAATTAAGTTTGCCGTGGAAGACGGAAAAACAAATACACTTTCGCATTTATAATATTAGTTAGATAATATGCATTTTTTGAAAGAAAATCAGTTGCGACGGTAGGCACGACAGGATAGAATGTTTTTCACGTCACATATAGTGCACAATTTATTAGGAACAATATTGCCATACATATATTAATTAACTTTAACATACCTCATGTGCTTCTTTTTGTTCCCAGGAACGTGGTTTAAAGTCTTCAGGATAGAAATGCGCTATGACTTCTTCAACCGAGGAATGTTTTAACTCAACCATTTTCAAGAAAGCACGGAAGCCAACCTTTGCCGCAATAACATCTTCGTCTTGTGTAGTTTCTTCCGTAAGTACTTCAGTGATAAGTGCACCATGCCCTTGTCTTTCTACTAAACGTACTAAAGCTGATTGAGATTGTGGAACTCTTAAGGCTGGGAAATATTGCGAATCATATAAGCTTTCTATTTGTTCTGTAGTGAGACCCTTTCTCATCATGAAACCAATTTTTGCCAATTCTCTTAATGGCGATTCTCCTGGGCCAAACTCCTTAGCATTAATTACTTCTAATAATTCATTTATTTCTGCAACTACACGTGAGTCACCCTCTACCATTTTAATAATAACTTTTTCAGTTTCAAACGATTCTTCAAATGGTTGTACCATTTCTTCCTTTTCAGGGTGTGTTGATATCAAATACTCCTGTGGAGTAACGATTGGTTCAGCTTTCTCTTTAGTAGGTTCTATTTTTTCCTTTTTGTCAACTTTTTTATAAGTCGCGACATCCACAGTTTCGACATAATCAGCCTCACTGATTACAGTTTTTGCTTTCTGTTTATCAGTTTTCTTAATTGGTTTTGGTTTTTCAATAGGTTCTTCTTGAACCGTTTCTGAAACTTCTTCAATGACTACTTTTTCGTCTCGTTTAACCACTTTTTCTTTTTTATCTTTCTGTTTCAGATGTTTTGCTTTTCTTAACTTGTCTGCACTATCATATACTTGCAATTTAGCTTTAGTGATAGCCATACCAATATCACTTACTGCTTTACACATGTATGTTCCTTCTGACGCTTTTACGCACTTTTTAACTGTACACGTCGTCCGGTTATCTTTGTTTTCAATAATATAAAGTTCATCAGTTCTGATGACTTTGTCGTCTTTGTACCAAATTATTTCTGAAAACAAATGACATATTATATAAATTTTCTAACTATATTTATCCGAACCTACATTGTATAACGAAACAGCTAGTTTCAGTAGAATACGACTTGAATCTGTTAACATAAAATAAGTGTAAGTATTGCACTATCTTATGTATTTAACGTGGCTTGATTGTTACTTTTATAAGGCCGACCAAGTTTCAAATAATACAAATATATACCTGGTGTAGGATTTCCACTGTATACAGCTTCAAAAGTAACAGTTTCTTCTTCATCAACCCGTTCGCCTAGAATTTCTTTCACGAAGGTAGGAACCGATTGTGTTGCTACAAAATATATCGGAAACATTAATAATATAGCACCGGAAAATTATCATGAATAACAATCGTCAGTTTAAAATTACATTTTGGTAAAAATGCTCTCATAAAAGTTTATGATTTTAGTAGTGTGTTATGAATTCATTAAATGGATTGAAATTTTTGGTGCTTTGGGTCCCTATGAGGTATTTTATTACGAATACTTGAAGATTTTACCTTTCAATGCTGCCTGTAGTTCTTCCATGTGTGTTACCCATTCTGGTTTTCGATATTCCTTCGTTCCAATTATACCTTTGGATAAAAAAATATATTTAAAAAAGTTGTAACTCCCATTGTGCAACGGGCTTTAAATCAATAATTATGATGAATAAGCTCCTTTTTTTGAAGTCGGTTAAAAATTGAATCACCAATTGTTATGATTAAAAGGAAACCGGCAAAATTTCATGTTTTGGACTAAATGAACAATGAAATGAAATACTTTGGGTTTTCAAAGACTAATGTATTTAGCTTTGTGTATCTACCTAATTAATTTTTCCGATACGTGGGTGTGTAAATAACTTCAGCCCGTAATCAGTAAGTCTCATTAACATTTTAGGAACAAAACAATGAAGAAAATGTTTTAGCTAACTTAAATTCGTACATTTTCATTAGAATCTCTGATCCCTAATAGAGCTAACGAGCATGAATTCAACATTCTGAAAGGTGGCGAAATCTCATTATTAAAATCACTTAAACTTATATTCTAATAAAAAAAGTGGGAACAATGTTAATTAGATTTACTGACTACTCACTGAAATAATGTTTAATCCTTCTAAACCAAGTATTAAATATTTGTTCATTGAAGCCAAGAATTGCCGATCTCTTATGCAAGAAATTAAAATATTATAAGAAGTACAAAAAGAAAAATTTTCGATTTCAAATCATTGTTTTGTATAAATGGAAAACAATGTGTAAAATGCATTTATATAAACGTTATTTTGTAATAGTGTAAATACAGTAAGTATGGGCTCTGTAGGAAGGGAATTCATGGAATAGGAATAGTATGCAATATTTAATTTAAACAGTTAATAACGAAGCTGTCGCGACCTGCTGCAGCTGTAAGCATATAATTAGAATTAGATAAAACGCCAAGATAATCATGTTTGTAAATCAGTGATTATTTTTAAATTTAAAATTCTCAATGGTTGTTGCTACTTACTTTCAACCGAAAGTGCTGCAATTGTGGACGTTACACCTAGTGGGTTAAAGGCTTCAAATACTATCTCTCCAGTGTCATCTTGGTAAACTTCTGGTATAATTAATATTGAGGTACCATCTTCCATTTCCTCTATTTGATATTCCTGAGACTGGAGTATCTCTACACCTTGTTTAAGCCACCTTACTTGGGGTTTGGGGACACCAATAGCCCTCGCTTCAAGCCTAAAACGTAAAACATTTAGGCTAGTATATGCTAGTGTTTAGGATGATTTTATCTTCGTAGAAATAAGTAAGTAACAAAATATTAACCTGGTTAGTTCACCTTCAGTAGTTGTAATCACTGTGGGTAATGCCTTTACTATACGTGGAGCAAACTCTTCTATGTCGCTTGTTTTCTGTAAAATAAGAGAGTGTTAAGGTTCTATGGCTTTTTAAAAATAATAAAATACTATTGTGTAATATTTTATTACCTCATCGCTCAGTATATCTTCTTCAGATGCACTTGGCACATACTCATATGCTAGAAAATGAAATAAAATGTTTTGTTAAAATATAAGTGGAACATCAATTTAAAATACTCAAGTGCATAATTCTTGTGCATTACTCGTGTGTTTGGCCGTTAATATGTTAAAATATTGTTCTTTGCTTTTCATTATATTATTTAAACTCTGATTTAGGTAAATAGATATAATTTGAAATACAAGTACACTCACAACAATAATTAACATCAATCAAGCTTTCGTTACACAAGCGCATGAACCCATCCTTTTAACCTTATTACATAAACATCACAATGTCTTAAAGACGCAAAATTAATGAAAAATAAACTCACTACGGTTAATTTTAAGGTGTACTCAGTAAACTAATGGCAGAAGTGTGGGTTTTTTCACTATTATAAATAACTAGGTATAGATATGGTTACGATAATTATATTTAATATTTTTAAAGACAGGTACCCATTTCAATAAAGTTGCTTTAGTTCTGAGGTTTAAAAGCTCGTTCTAGATGCTTCAGTGTAATCAGTGTTCAATAAAATCAAAACGAAAATTTGTTCTACAGATGCATGGCAACTATATGCTATGTTGTTATTAGGTGCTTCGTGAATTTTGTGATAAAAATCATACATTAAATATTTAAAAATACATGCAGAATATTATCCATGCAATGATGAAAGTAGAATTTCGTGACTACCTTCAATGTGTACAGTACATTCGCAGTTACAACTTCCAAAGTCATTCGTAGCTATACAACGGTATAAGCCTGACATTTCTGGGAAAGCTTCTTTAATGCATAATTCACATAGGCCTGATTCTTGTCTCGCAACTGTTATGTCTCTAGCTCTTTGAACAGGTTCATCATTGTGATACCAATCTATTTGAGGCCATGGTTGACCACTGATTGTACAAGAAAGCTTAATTGGTTCACCATCCATAACAATAACAGATTCTAAAGGTGTGATAACTACAGGTGCTTCCCCACTCATTTCTTTATCTGGTTGTTCTAACAGTGAAGCAGAACACGAAACTGATCCCGCAAAATTTTCTGCTCTACATGTAATAGCTCCTAAGAAATCTTTACTTATATTTTCAATGCACAGACACGATGTATTATCTCTGTCTGTTACATATATGTTAGTTAATTTGTTTTGTTTAACATATGTTGTTACTTCTCTGGTATCTATAAACCATTGGAAGGAGGCGGTTGGACTTGATACAACTTCAGCTTCTAGCAACACTATCTCGCCTAAATTCACCCTTTGTGGTCTTATAGGTTTAATGAAAACAGGTGGTGAGATTTCGTCTTCATTTAAAGATTTTAGCAGTTTAATTGAACTTGCTGATTTTACGATCACATTATTTTTTTCTACAATTACTTCATATTTTCCTACTCTCTTTTTGTTAATATCTGGTACTCTTAACGTTGAAGTTCCATTTTCAGTATGAATTACACTTTCATCGCTATGTTCTAGTGGTTGATTGTTGCGATACCATTTCACTTTGCTATCAGCAGGCTCATACACAACTTTCAATTGTAATGTACTATTTTCCAATACATTTAAAGCCTTGAGTGGCTCTATTATGAATGGTCCGACCTCTGCAAAATTTTGTACTATGTTAATTTTTAAGTTGATTTTTGTTCAAAGTCTAAAGGAATACTTTGATTAGGACTTTTAGTATTAAATAACATTTGTGCTTCTATATAAAATTACACGAATTAAACTACTGTATTTAATTCGTTATCACAAAAGCTCTTATTCAGTTTTACTTCAATGCATGAGTATTTTTGGAATTTTGCAATCAATATTTGACTTACACTTAGCTTTTGTTTCACATGTTAATACTTAACATTTAGTTTCCAAAAATTTTCCCCAATGGCGAATGCAAGTAAAAACATGGTGATGGACCATTTCCATTTTCCATGGTATACTTTGTATTAAAAAGGTGCGCAAAACACGATTAACAAGTATCGTAATTTGATACACATACAACGTGAGACACGATGGACATCATAAAATTTGACTGAAAACTTGACACAGTGGCTGGGTAAGCACCTGCTGCACAACGTATCGCGGATTCCATTTCCGAGCGAAGCTTTTTTTTAAAGTGATCCATAGTGGTGTTTTGTGTCTGAGTGTCATGTAAAGATGAAATTTGTATTCGTGAATGCATTAATACCACGAAATAATCTATAAAACCCACCTGAACGGCGCAAAGTATTGTTTTAAATGGCACAGGACATTAGGTAATAGGCAAGTTCATAGGCAACTCTTATGATATGGGTACCAAATGCCAAATGTATTACCAAAATAAGTGATTGATACACTAGCTTAAATTAATATAGAGCACATCTAGTCATAGAAATATGAATTGAAATTGATACAATATTGATTGCAGAATTTCAAAAAAGCAGAAAATAAAATTACACTGCATAAAATACTTATTTAAAAAATATATAGCTGAACCATATTTTTTTACAGTACGTATTTCAAAGTTTGATCAAAACTATTACTTTGTTAAAAGATCAAAAAACATTTTATTAGCATTTAGATGCTCATTAAATTTTATTATCATTTTCAGGCTGAATGATGATAGGCTATGGCCTAAGGTACACCTCAAAGTAAACCTTGAGGTGTACCAACTTTAGTGCCTAGTACTGTTACACTGATTACAGTTTCATCCTAAGATATTTTGTGTGTAATTTTATTTTAGACTAACTGTTAATTAATACGTTTTATTATCTTCAGGGCTGATTTTTCAATCATCAGTCAATTCAAATTGACATTTGACAGTTTTTCCTCAGTTAAAATTTTTATGGCGATTGAAAAATCGGCTCATAAACATTAAACTTGACATGTAAAAATGTGAAAACCGCTAACAGGTTTATTAAAAAATAATAACAGTAGAAGACATTAGAAACTATAAATTCTATGATACAAAATTAGTATACATAAAACTTAATTTTAAAATTTCTATAAATAAAATAACAAATATCAGTAGTTACTGATTGTAGAAATAATTGATACTGTAATTTCTAATGTCCTCTAAATATTTTGTGTATAAATCTTTTAATCTATTGATATATACATCGTGTGTTAAGCACAAATAATGGAGATAACCATGCATCTGTTTCTGGACTTCAGATAATTAAAAAAAAATGGTAATAATAATTATGATTCCAATAATATCGCCAACGGGATCTAAACTAATGATACTATAAATCGATTCATACCTTTCTTTTTCTCCTTATGGATTTGTTTCTTAATTTTCTTTGTTTTAACTATAGTCGTAGTTTCTTCCTGAATCTCTTCCGATGGCTCATCTGTGCGTACAGCTGATTCTTGAACAATGACTTCTTCAATCAGCTCCTCTTTTAAGACAGGCTTTAATGTAACTTTCTCGGGCTTTTCTTCTTCGGGTGCTTTTTGCTTTGGAACCGGTTTGAGAACCACCTCTTCCTTCGGCTCTTCTTCCTTCGGTCGCCTTTTGCCTGTCGGCCACTTAGGTTCCTCGGGCTTAGTTTCTTCAACTACTTTCTCTTTCTTGACAGGCTTTAGTTGTAATTCTTCTGGTTTTTCTTCTTCTGGTGCTTTCTGCTTTGGAATTGGTTTGAGAACCACCTCTTCCTTTGGCTCTTCTTCCTTCGGTCGCCTTTTGCCTGTTGGCCACTTAGGTTCCTCGGGCTTAGTTTCTTCAAGTACCTTCTCTTTCTTGACAGGTTTCAATGCTACTTCTTCTGGTTTTTCTTCTTCGGGTGCTTTCTGCTTTGGAACTGGTTTGAGCACCACCTCTTCCTTTGGTTCTTCTTCCTTTGGTCGCCTTTTGCCTGTCGGCCACTTAGGTTCCTCGGGCTTAACTTCTTCAACTACCTTCTCTTTCTTGACAGGCTTCAATGCTACTTCTTCTGGTTTTTCTTCTTCGGGTGCTTTCTGCTTTGGAACTGGTTTGAGCACCACCTCTTCCTTTGGTTCTTCTTCCTTCGGTCGCCTTTTGCCTGTCGGCCACTTAGGTTCCTCGGGCTTAGTTTCTTCCACTACCTTCTCTTTCTTGACAGGCTTCAATGCTACTTCTTCTGGTTTTTCTTCTTCGGGTGCTTTCTGCTTTGGAACTGGTTTGAGAACCACCTCTTCCTTCGGTTCTTCTTCCTTCGGTCGCCTTTTGCCTGTTGGCCACTTAGGTTCCTCGGGCTTAGTTTCTTCAACTACCTTCTCTTTCTTGACAGGCTTCAATGCTACTTCTACTGGTTTTTCTTCTTCGGGTGCTTTCTGCTTTGGAACTGGTTTGAGAACCACCTCTTCCTTTGGTTCTTCTTCCTTCGGTCGCCTTCTGCCTGTCGGCCACTTAGGTTCCTCGGGCTTAACTTCTTCAACTACCTTCTCTTTCTTGACAGGCTTTAGTTGTAATTCTTCTGGTTTTTCTTCTTCAGGTGCTTTTTGCTTTGGAACTGGTTTGAGAACTACCTCTTCCTTTGGTTCTTCTTCCTTTGGTCGCCTTCTGCCTGTCGGCCACTTAGGTTCCTCGGGCTTAACTTCTTCAACTACCTTCTCTTTCTTGACAGGCTTTAGTTGTAATTCTTCTGGTTTTTCTTCTTCAGGTGCTTTTTGCTTTGGAACTGGTTTGAGAACTACCTCTTCCTTTGGTTCTTCTTCCTTCGGTCGCCTTCTGCCTGTCGGCCGCTTAGGTTCCTCGGGCTTAGCTTCTTCAACTAACTTCTCTTTCTTGACAGGTTTCAATGCTACTTCTTCTGGTTTTTCTTCTTCGGGTGCTTTCTGCTTTGGAACTGGTTTGAGAACCACCTCTTCCTTTGGCTCTTCTTCCTTTGGTCGCCTTCTGCCTGTCGGCCACTTAGGTTCGTCGGGCTTAGCTTCTTCAACTACCTTCTCTTTCTTGACAGGCTTCAATGCTACTTCTTCTGGTTTTTCTTCTTCGGGTACTTTCTGTTTTGGAACTGGTTTGAGAACCACTTCTTCCTTCGGTTCTTCTTCCTTGGGTCGCCTTCTGCCTGTCGGCCACTTAGGTTCCTCGGGCTTAGCTTCTTCAACTACCTTCTCTTTCTTGACAGGTTTCAATGCTACTTCTTCTGGTTTTTCTTCTTCGGGTACTTTCTGTTTTGGAACTGGTTTAAGGACCACTTCTTCCTTCGGTTCTTCTTCCTTGGGTCGCCTTCTGCCTGTCGGCCACTTAGGTTCCTCGGTCTTAACTTCTTCAACTACCTTCTCTTTCTTGACAGACTTCAATGCGACTTCTTCTGGTTTTTCTTCTTCAGGTACTTTCTGTTTAGGAACTGGTTTGAGAACCACTTCTTCCTTCGGTTCTTCTTCCTTGGGTCGCCTTCTGCCTGTCGGCCACTTAGGTTCCTCGGGCTTAGCTTCTTCAACCACCTTCTCTTTCTTGACAGGCTTCAATGCTACTTCTTCTGGTTTTTCTTCTTCAGGTGCTTTCTGTTTTGGAACTGGTTTGAGAACCACTTCTTCCTTCGGTTCTTCTTCCTTGGGTCGCCTTCTGCCTGTCGGCCACTTAGGTTCCTCGGGCTTAGCTTCTTCAACTACCTTCTCTTTCTTGACAGGCTTCAATGCTACTTCTTCTGGTTTTTCTTCTTCGGGTACTTTCTGTTTTGGAACTGGTTTGAGAACCACTTCTTCCTTCGGTTCTTCTTCCTTGGGTCGCCTTCTGCCTGTCGGCCACTTAGATTCCTCGGGCTTAGCTTCTTCAACTACCTTCTCTTTCTTGACAGGCTTCAATGCTACTTCTTCTGGTTTTTCTTCTTCGGGTACTTTCTGTTTTGGAACTGGTTTGAGAACCACTTCTTCCTTCGGTTCTTCTTCCTTGGGTCGCCTTCTGCCTGTCGGCCACTTAGGTTCCTCGGGCTTAGCTTCTTCAACTACCTTCTCTTTCTTGACAGGCTTCAATGCTACTTCTTCTGGTTTTTCTTCTTCGGGTGCTTTCTGTTTTGGAACTGGTTTGAGAACCACTTCTTCCTTCGGTTCTTCTTCCTTGGGTCGCCTTCTGCCTGTAGGCCACTTAGGTTCCTCGAGCTTAGCTTCTTCAACTACCTTCTCTTTCTTGACAGGCTTCAATGCTACTTCTTCTGGTTTTTCTTCTTCGGGTGCTTTCTGTTTTGGAACTGGTTTGAGAACCACTTCTTCCTTCGGTTCTTCTTCTTTTGGTCGCCTTCTGCCTGTCGGCCACTTAGGTTCTTCGGGCTTAGCTTCTTCAACTACCTTCTCTTTCTTGACAGGTTTCAATGCTACTTCTTCTGGTTTTTCTTCTTCGGGTGCTCTCTGTTTTGGAACTGGTTTGAGAACGACCTCTTCCTTCGGTTCTTCTTCCTTCGGTCGCCTTCTGCCTGTCGGCCACTTAGGTTCCTCGGGCTTAGCTTCTTCAACTACCTTCTCTTTTTTGACGGGCTTTAATGTCACTTCTTCCGGTTTTTCTTCTTCAGGTGCTTTTTGCCTTAGGACTGGCTTAAGAACCACCTCTTCCTTCGGTTCTTCTTCTTTCGGTCGCCTTTTGCCAGTTAACCACTTAGGTTCTACAGACGTGGCTTCATCTACTGGTTTCTTTTTCATGGGTTTTAGTTCCAATGCTTTCTCTTCGTCGGGCGCTTGTTTATCTAGAACTGCATCTGTGTCGTCTTTCAATTTCTTTGACTGACGTCTCCAGACCGGTACATCAGTTTCTTGCGTGTCCTCAATTTTAAGTATCGCTGTGTCTTCTTCATATTTCAATAGTTCTTCAGTTTCCTCAGTATCAATCTTTTTTATTGATCCCTTCCTTACTTGTTTTAAAGTAACGTCTTCTATTTTTTCTTTCACGATCAAAGATTTTTCCACTTTAGTTGGGCGCAGTTTAATGCTTTCTTCAGTCCAAGGTATGGAATCTTTTCTTTCCTCTCTTATGGGTTTCTTTTCATCCCGTGGTTTTCTCCACTGAGGTACTTGCTTTTGATCCTTTTCCTCATCTCTTTCAATTTGCATAATTGATACATCTTCCTCGATTGATGTGGTTTCGGTAGGTTTGTCCTCGCGTCGCGGTTTTCTCCAAGATTTTGTTTCCAACATTTGTGATTTTTCTTCATTTGTTTCTGACTGAATTTTGAGTATACTAACATCTTCTGTAGTAACTATTTTGTCTTTCTCTGTTTGTTTTAAATCATCTTTAGCGCGAGGTTTCCTCCAAGTTTTAACTTGTAGAATCTCTTTATTGGTTTTGTCATCTTCAATATCGTCCTGTATTTTTAGAATAGAAGTATCTTCCGTTATGGATTTTTCTTCCGTAGATGGTTTAGTATCTTGTTTTGGTTTTCTCCAATGTTTTATTTCAAGGATTTCTTCTGTTGTTTCTTGTTTAATTTGACTTTGTTTACGCCACGGGATATTAGAAACCATTTTTTGTGTATTTACGTCTTGCGTACTTTGAATTTTCAATAAGTTACTTTCTTCCGTAGATTGATACAATGATCTACTAACTTGTGTAGAGTCAGTTTCATCAGTTTTCGAACTTTTTACATCGGTTTTGTCATGGAACGTTTTTCGTACAGCTTGTCGAGACTCTGAAAAAAAATATAAGTATTATTATTATTTGTTTAATACGTTTATCATTAGTTCGGTATTTGGATTTTACCTACTTCGATTAAACAATAATAATAGGTATAACTATATAAGTAAGTATACATATATATATATATACCATAACTGATAAAACATGGGCCTCATAACATAACTGATAAAAGAATTGTGTATGTCACATATTACATGCACACATTGCATCTTTCAAAGGAGGTGTGATGTTACCGAGGTTACGTTAATATTATTTGAGTGAAATGTACCTAAAAGATAGCATATACTGTTTGACTACCGGTATCCGATATATCGTTTATGCATTGACAAAAAATATAAAGGAGAGTCACACTCTTGATTATACGAAGTAATTATGATAACGTCTATTTTTAATAAAAACTTATGATCTTCTTATCACTTCGTGATCGCATTGTCCCCTAGTCGGAATCTAATATCGGGTTCCCACGGAAATCTAGTGAAATTTTTGATATTTTGTGGGGGTGACTATTGTGTTTGTTATTATCATTATTTGTTCTAAGGTATAAGAGGAATAATTTTACAAAATACACAAGTTTATCAGTCTACGGACATACTGATAACCTATTTAGAAGTGCCTATAGATCCATGTAGATTCGTATAAAGAAAAACGAGCAAGAAATACCAATTAGAGGATGTTTTGTATAACTGGCTAGGTATAAAACCTGCAACAATACCCTTCTTTCGGTCGGGTAAAAAAATGCTATACTTGTGTTTGGGCTTGTATTGATGAGAACTTTGCACTCATGTAATAAGAGGTATCGTGAATTTGATGATGGCGATCACCTTACCGCATTTTCCAATACAACTCACCAGTGGTTAAGAATAGGCCAAAACTTCTTTTATGAACAAATAAAATACAATGTATAGCCCTGTACTAAACTAAAATCAAGAAAAACAAAGAATTAATCCAAGGCCATTAACTATGGCCTATAAACTATAACTAATGATGTGCTTCCCTCTCTTACTGATTCCTAGTTTAGAAATTGTTCTATGAAAACTGACACAAGGCGTAGTTTTTCCTAAAAACTTTCCTAATATAAAAAAGACCTACCAATGAATAGAATATTGATCTGCAAATATCTTGATGTACAAACCTTGCTAACAAAATAATTTTTCACTGAGATATGCTGAAAGATGTGTGTCAAAGTAGTAATTTTTCGATATTTGCCAAAATGTGGTATAGTTTTGAAACTGTACATTTTCGCTGAACATATTAAATTGGTTCGTTTGGGTATTAATTCCAACTTTCACTCCTCACAGTATGGAGGACTATTTACTGGACTCTATAAGCACATTTACCTACTCACAGTGCTGCGTAAGATAACTATCTGTGACAAAACCCTTTTTTCTCATTGACTAAAAATAACCACGATCATAATTGACCAGCTAATTTTATTATTTTTTCGAGTTTCTATGGTATCTTTATAACACTATTCTTTAGGTGGTCCGAAGCAGGTAGTTAGTTTTAATTTTTAAGTTTTACTATTTTACCCAGAACATTTTTGGACGAAATTTTTTAGACAAACTTAGATATTGTATAAACATTGGACCATTTAGATTTTAACTAAGATCTGGCACTGTGTTTCGGATTTAATTTAATTAAAACAGATTTTAACGCGTAGAGACGTCAACAATCTGGAGGTGTTTGTGGTTGGTGGTGGTGGAAAGACCTCGTGGTCGCTGACGTACCCGGTGCGGTGGTTAGATGCTTTAAAAAACCTAAACCTAAAAAACCTTCAAGTCCAGTTTTAGCCAAAGGATCGGATCCGCTGCTCCTGTTCCAGTTGCTACTCTACTTTTTGCAAAATTTGAAAATCTACTCGGCGGAATAAAATTCATTACCCGGGATTCAGTACAAAATGCAATTAAAGAATTTCTTAAAAAGGATACTTGGAATAGAATAGAAGAATTTCTTACATGGGATATATTGTGGGTTATACTGTGAAGTTTTGATACAATGTTATTTTTTTTTTATTAAAAATGCAGGTAGTCAAAACTTGGAACACACGTACCAGTTCTGGGTGCTTACTCTTGAAACCAATCTCAATGTCAATGCAATATTAATACAATAAAATCTCAATAATTATTCAATGTCAAAACTATGCAACCACAATCGCAGCTGTTAATATAGCATTTAGAGTACGGACTATAAAACCAAACTCAATACCACTTAGTTCATTCAATATCCACGCAATACGGATGCAATGGGCGCTAGTGTTGCAACTCAAGAGTACGAAATTTCGCAATACTAATGTCGATCGATCGGGATTGGATTCAAGAGTAAGCCACCTGGTTTGTGCACAGACTCCGTCAACAACACCATGTCGTACCAAAAATGTTTCTTTCAGCAAAAGCTTTCTCGGTGTGGGTCATATAGGGTCCACCCGATATTGACTAGAAATGAATATTCTAGACAACACCAGAGCTCTAATATTTATGATCAGTTTTTTAGTGTAACATCAAAATATAGCGCAACTACAATAGTAGTTGCATGTAACTACTTATTATAAGTTAGCTCAGTTCTTACTTATAGATTATACAGATTTTATACGGCCAACAACTGTATTGGGTGCAGGTAAGCTAGGGCTACAATTAAATTTATTCAATTCCCTCGTGGTGATTAATGCTCAAACATTCTCAGAAGAAGCCTTTGGTCAGCAGTGGCCACTGGCTATAGGATGTTAATGATGACGGTTTTAATTCCACTTTCAGATTGGGATCAAGAGTCAAGAGCCACCTTTATCAGTTCTTTTTTACCGTACTTGAGCGGCTAGAGATCCTCCAACCCAGCAACACAGCGATCCCACAGTTTTGCCCAATTTCTTACAGTTCACTAATTGTTCTCATTTCAGCTTATTGATTCACTGTGGTGCCAATGTTGGACAGCGTTGTTGCAATATGAGCAGTCCGCCCATAACTTACTTTGGAAATGTGGTCTCTGACAATATGAATGTATTAGATCATTTAATTGTTTCATCAGGTGTAGTTTACTCTGTGGACCTTATGGGACTTTCGGTGTGTTTAGGCGTTTTTATTGCAATCAAGTTTATTTGCTCATATATTAAACCCACTTAGTTTTAATCAAATTTTCGTGGTACTTGGCGACTGGGCTCCTCCCAGTTGTGCAGTGCCTTTGTGCCTTTAGGCTATAGAGTAATTCCGTCTCCGGCATTCAACGCATGCAACGAGAGAAGTGGCTACTATTTCGACTTCTTCTCTATTTGGAATTAATGTCTCTAGGCCAGACTCCTGTTTTTCCAGAGTATTCATGGTTTTATATACTGTAGAACCTGGTTTTGGGATTGTGTGCGCGTTTGGACCAATAAATAAATATTTATTTAGGAATAAGTTTTCGATGTTTGATATTTTGCATACAGAATTTTAAAAATTAAACAAGCATCGACTACGTGCTCTTTTGTGACTTTAGATTTTAGGGTCTACTGTAGTCTCATCAACATGTTTGCCTGTTTGTTGGTAAGTAGAAATATCTACTTCTTTATAGAATAGGGGACAAACAAGTCATATGATTACCATCAGATGGCTCGTCTGTCTACCAATTAGATCAGTGACCCCCATTGACACAATAAACTGTCAATTTCTAGCAACATAAACTGTTTGAGCCCGCGCAACGTCGTTTCAACGACGTTTCGATACTTTAAGTATTTTTTTATTAACATCACATAACATAACATCACGCCTTTTTATCCCCGAAGGGGTAGGCAGAGGTGCACGTTTCGGCACTTAATGCCACTGTACAATGTAACACCCACTTTTCACTATTTATGTTATGAGTCCCATGTAATAGGGGGTGAGCCTATTGCCATATACCGGGCACATTTTTCCAGACTCCGTGCTACTACTGAGATTTTTAAAAACCCAGTAATACCCAGTAATATTTTTTATTAACAGTTTATCTTAAGAACCATTATATCTATCGACGAGTCTGGACATTCTGGTTATTCCATATTTCAGCAGCTGTAGCCATTAGGCTTTTTTATTCCAAGAACTGATTCAAGGTTTTGTTTTCAATCAAATATTAATCTTTTCTCTATTTCCTTGGTCATTGGCATGATCAAGGACGTTGGAAACAAAGGCGGACGTAATGTCATTTAGAAATGATTGACCGAAATCTCAGTGGTGTATTTATGTGTGCGAATACTTGCAACACCATAATGTATGAATTATGGTGTTGCAAGGTTTGACTGCACGGTTTGTGCGGTGACTGGGCAACTGGCTGCCGAGCAACGTATCGCGGGTTCGATTCCCGCACGGAACAACTCTTTGTGTGATCCACAAATGATGTGTGTGTATTCTGCGTGTATAAGTCTATAGTAGCCAGGTGCCACAGTCGTTGTTTCAAGAGACTATTGCCAGAATACTGAAACGCTACTCAATTTTAAGTCGTTCTCAAATATCGTGCCATCTCTGTCATTTTACAAAGAATTTGTAGAGATAGAACTATACTTAAGCACGAAAATTTAGCGTTTCAGTGTTCCAACATATGTCCGCCTTTTTTTCAACGTCCTTGGGCGTGATGCAATGTTCCGCTTTCATGGCTGGATTTCTTTTGATTCATTTTTATTTTTGTTGTTTTTCTATTGTAACGTCACTGGCTGATTTTTATTATTTTTCCTTCAAAGAAACGACCCTATAAAATCACCATCGGCTGCTATAAATCTTAAACCATGTAAATATCCAAGATGATCATCTCTAACGTACACTAATCCACTCAAAACCTAATTTTTATCCTCTTTTGACGAATTTCAATTTTACTTCTTAGAGGTATATTACCCCTGGCATAGTTATACGCTGAACTGTAGACCCAGCCCAAAAATAACCGTTACCAAGATAACAATTTGAAAAATATCCATATTTTAGGATCAAATTGTATAACACTACAAAATAATATATCCAAATTCAGATTTCTCACGTTCTACAACATCTGGGCGGAATTGCTTGTTGCTACCTCTATAATTTAAGTTTGAATTAGTTAATAAAAGGAAACAATCAAGTTTTACTTCAAAGTTTTCACGGAAATTTAAAGTGAAAGTGATTAAATAACAATGTTTAAAATTATATTAGAAATGACATCATAGTTTTATCTAAGAACTAGCTTCCGCCCGCGATTTTGTACGCGTAATCCCATTTTTTCCCGTCCCCGTTCGTAATTTTCGGTAAAAAGTAAAAAAAAATGTTGGTCAAAAAGTATCCTATGTACCGACATAGGATACTTTTTGACCAACCGCTTAGACCGCTCCTGGCTCTAAGCTATCTCCCTACCAATTTTCAGCCAAATCTATTCTGCCGTTCTTGAATTACAAGTGGTGTAACTAACACGACTTTTTTATGTATATAGATATGTATTTATTAAATCAAGTAAGACGAATAAGTCCACTGAATGTAGTCAACTACCGGACAGATTATATTAGTCAAGGCAAACCTAACCACTGTCCGACTGTAGTAATGGTAGACAGTCATGTGGCAGGATACGTCATCTAAGCCTCATGACCAAGATGGGGCCCAATATTGCCGGTACGGAGCCGCAGAGAACTTAACGGGTTGCCGGGGCTTCGGCTCGAAGTGCAGGCGTAGGAACGGGTGGGTTTTAGTCAGTAAGCGCAGACGCTTAGAGGGAGTGTCAGAGACACTCTTTCTCGCCTCTTCCGGGCGGGAGAAGAAATTGGTAGATTTTCCCCCTCAAAAAAGCCTCATGACCAATTTGGACTCAAGGTTCCAGTAAAGAAGTTCCAGTGACCAGTGGGACAATTTCAAATTCCTAATTTCTTTATGTGTATAGGTATTTTACCTATGTTCTATTTTGGGAATTATAGATATGTTGAAACAAGCATACTATATAAGTAGATATTAGAGCACATTATCCTCTCGCTCGCCTCTCGTACACACGGGTAAACGCGCGTACACACGGGTAAATATTTCAATAGAAAAGGGAATTAACTATTCTGTTAAATCAAATAAAGAACGGGTTGCAAACTTGAAAATATACGTCACAGAAAAAATATCCAATCGGTGCGCATTTCTCGTACACCCGTGTGTACAATTGCACGATGGGCACTCAACTCTTTCGTACACCCATGTGTACCAGAAACACGCGAGAGGTTATGTACATATTTGATTAACATTTTTAACCGACTTCAAAAAAAGGAGGAGGTTCTCAATTCGACCGTATATTTTTTTTTTTTAGCCCTCAAAAGTGTGGTGGGACAACCTTCCGTGGTGCACTCTAGATTTTCTTCCATCAGTCCATACACATAACTTAGGCGTAAGGGTTAGGCGCTGCAAAGTATTTCTCTGGTGACCTATTTCATTTCACTTTTTAACGAATGAAATTTAATTTAGTCCAGCTGTTTTTAAGTTATTTTCAGAGTACTTTGGGATTGATTTTTATTAGATATTTGTGTCGTAGTATGTAGAAACCACGTAGCGCCACCTAATATGATTTTTATGAGTTATTCTTCTGTGTTGTTATGCTTCTGTGATATTCATGCATCATGCCAACATATTCTCAATTCTTTCGAAGTAAATCTTTCTCAGTCACAATATCTTGCAACTATTTCAGTTCAGAATTTAATTGATGCGCAATTCTTTTGTAATTACTTCACATTCATTGTTTTTGAAAATCTGTCAGGTCCTGTAAATCTTTGTGCACATTGAACAGACATAGTGACGCTATACCTCTTTCGCACTTCCCTAGAAATGTGGAATCAATCTGCAAAAGCCTCATTATTTATAACTACAATCCCGACTAAGCACCGCTCAACTGCGTACATGATTGATATTGACCACAATTTATCTCTCCACACGTCTTCTTACAATACACTTTCATTTCTAGATGTTCTCAATTATGCACCTTAAGGAGCAGATCTGATCTATGTATCTCCTGTTATCTCGGAAACCCATCTGTCTGTCACCAGTCACCACTTTCGCTTATAGTTGAATCTCTTGTCTTGAATTTTGTATTACTTTCCCACAGCCTATTCTGTACAGGTACAAGTATTGTTATCTAAAGTTTAAGCTGTTTTCAAACGGTGTATAATTAAATTCGTGGGCTACAATTTAAGTTTAATGTGCTACTCACAATACGCAAGTCAAACCGTACATATTTTAATGAACTTAACTACCTAAGGAATAAGGTCAGTTGTCGAGACTTCGAGAGTCAAGGTTCAAGGAGTTTTTCGTTCTTCAGTGTCATCGTCACGTTGTGTACCGTAATGTTTTTGATGTATCAGTCAGAAATCAGTCTTTAGTGGATGCACGTTAACCAACACTAACTTCTGATCCTAAGAAGTTGCTGATCCTTGAAGGACATTATTTAAATATATCTAAAATGATCGTCATCATCATCACTACCTATTAATGTAGTATAAAAAATAAAAAACATTAAAAAAATCATATCGATTCGATGCGACGAATATCGAAAAGGCGATAATCAAAGAAGAATATATGATGCGATATTAGGTCCTAAGTCTTGATCTAATTGGGAGTCCCGATAAGTATTATAGATTTTTGTCGACCTTGTCTACAAAATTGTGGATGAACTAGTAAGAAATTCAAACCTAATTCTAAACAGTCTACTCCGATGGTTGAGGTACACGTACATACACACGTGTGCTCTATTTTATATCTTTTTCTGCTCCTTGCTGTAGTATGATACACCTCCGATTACAAACTGATACTTACCGAAGTACTCACCTTATTCCAGTACACAGTTCACTTTGAATGTCTGCATAAGTGTTGTAAGTTTAAAAGTAGCTACAATTGCTACGAATTTCTAAAGCCGAAAGAAATTTCAAAATATTTGTAGTACATTTCGTGTCATGTAGTGTGTACCTACCTAAATGTTTGTATGCATTATCGTTATATAGAATAAAAATACTAATTTAAACAGCATTCAAAAATATCTACTTGTATTAATGCTAGATTTGTGTAAAGATCTAAATATAAAGCTAGTAGTATCAACAAACTGGCATTATTAAAATAATCTTTAATAGTAATATAGTTAATTAACTGTTTAGTGACAACAGTAACAAAAAAACCATGTGACTAATTAAATCACAACTGAAATTTGAATAGCATGAAGAAAGAAAATAGAAGTTTAGATAGAGCTGTGCCAGTTGAATGAAAGAAAGCAACCAAAGCGACCTCGCTATCCATCAAAGGTATATGCACCATACGACAGCATACACACTTTTGAATAATGTTAGCTTCAATGTATCTGATGGATAACAGGCTCTGGGTGTAAGTGCATCGTGTTTAATGTAAGATGATTGTCACTCTATTCTACCTACGACTTTAACGAGCGATTCACACTTGAAAGTACTGAAGATAGTTTTGTTGTGTATAGAATAATGCGAAATTATTATTAATTTATAGCATTTATTAAACAGATTTCACATAAAGGTAACATACAAAATTTTACGTCATAAATATATTATTATTATTAAAATAGTCTAAGAATTCATTTAGTCATAAAATACTGCCACGCCTAATAACTTAATACAATTAGGTGAAACATACAACACAATTTTAATTTTAACAATATCGTGCACTTAAAACAAACTAAGTTAAAGATCACTGTAACGTTAAACTATAAAATCTCATTCAATTTGGATTTGTACTTGCAAATAATTAGGTGATCAATATCGGCAGTGTTGTCAAAACATAGAAACTGGCAAGGCACGTGCGTACTTTAATAGAGTGGTGAGCCGCAGGGCGAGCGACTTAGTACACTAAGTTTATGTTTCTTTGTCATAGAAGAGTTGACAGCGGATCTAAAGGCATGGCGAGATATACAACCACGATTAACTTTGTGGCCCGCGAGAACGACCCCCCTCCCGTCCAGTGCCCGTAATGGGTCACTATCGCAAACCTTGACATAGACATTACCCTACTGTTACGCCATGACACTGACAAAGTTAGTCGTAGCTGTTAGGTAACATCAGGTGAGGGCACGGCCGCCGCACCCCACGTGCAACTTGTTAGCTGTGATTGACTTAAAAGTAATGCCAAATATAAATCGGACGGTACAAACAGTGATACATGCTTAGACAAGGTTAAACATTGAAACTGGGACTAATTAAAGTGTCGAAATGTTTTTGCACATAAGCGCATAATAAATAAAGGTACATTTTCTAACAATAGACGATGCCAAGTCCGAGTTTCAATTACTATCTGATAAAGTGAATTTCAAATGAAATGACCTTTATAATAGACAAATAATACCAAGATCATTTTCATAAGATTCACAAGTCTGTTCGGCATTTCGTTAAAATCACTAAAAGAGATTTTCGACATCCGCGGTAAAGAGTAAACGTCACATTGAATAGATATGTATTGAAGCGGATATAGATATGTAATGTCGAACGCATTAGTGAATTTATACAAAACACCTGAACAGATCTCAACACAAAAAGCGTCAAAACTTTTAACTGATTATTGTTAATAAGGCCAAATAAATAATTCATTAACTATAGCAGGCTTAAAATAAATTATTATGAATGAGTATTGGGTGAAAAATACATTTGATGTTTTATCGAAGACGCGTCTTTGCTTTAAGTATAACGCAATGTATTCTAATATACAGTATAATCGGTCAAAGTATACATTTACATTTAGTAAACATCGTAGCGGTAAAAGCAAAACAAAACAGTCGTAAAATGTCTCGTGTTCATGTTAATCACAGTTACGTGTGTCCAACTATATGGAAGCTCCTGGCCGTCGCTCGATGATCTTCATTTGCCGCCTGCCTCTTGGTAAGACTAGACTATTTACACAAAAAGCTTAAATATACAGCGATGTTAGATGCGGAAATTCGCCCAAATAGTACTACGAGTTAAATTTACAATCGAATCGATTTGCATTTATGTTAGATTTTGCATGTGCTGCTCTGTCGTCATAACACAACGGCGAACTTTTGTTATTCTGGTATGAAAGAAAGGTTTTAAAGATAGAAATATAATTTTGTACATTAAGGTGCCCAAAATAAATGAACGAATCGATTTAAAAAACGTGAGCATGCTCGTTATTTTTCCACCGCACTCTTTTCTCAAAAAGGGCTTTTCATTCATTGTTTTGCGGTTTGTTTCTTAGAAATAACGTGCATATTATTGGGAAATAATTTCAAAACGCACTACTTTAGAGATGTTCAGTTTAGTATGAACATAAACAGGTTTTATAGTAAGTTCATTTACTTTTGTAGATTAAGTATTTATAGGGAAGTGATAGTGATAGTCCACATGGACTTAGAAATCTCTCAAGTGGTGAAATGTTCTTCAAACTCAAATAAGGTAAAAGAAGGATATAGGAATAACTTAGTACAATTTAAAATATTAAGAAGGAAAAGTTGTCGGTGCACTGTTATTAAATATTTACAAATGCAGGCAATATATTACATAACAAAAATTATATTTGGCGCAGATATATATTAATTTCCTTTTATACCATAAATTAACAAGTTCGCCGCTATGGTATTGCGGCAAAACCATTCACATTAAATGTGCATTATCATAATTCACGCGAACTATTCTTTAAATGTAATACTTTTTACATGTAACCTAGACTCGCAATCATTTGTGTCATATTGTCAAGATGGTGATCGTGGGGGTGTGTTTAAGCGGACGTAAGTCGTTATTGCGGTAACCGCTACGATTTTAAAGCCATATAATTTAATTTTATCCTCGCATGTCAACTTTCTGAGTTTAACTTTATGCAGTAGTTTTCACCCGATCTCAAAGTGATATAAAGATGAAACAAAGAAACACTACATTAATGGATTAAAAGTGCGCGACGCGAGCTCGCTGCCTGTATCTATGTCTTACTTTTGACGACTAGTTTTGCCGAAGTCTCGACTTGGCCGGCGGCAGTCGTGGCCCGACAGGTGAAGGTGCCAGTGTCTTCCTCGTACGTGTTTCCGATCAGCAATACCGCGTTGTTTCCTTCGTGGATCATCTGCAATGAATTATAATAATTGTTAATTATATATATAATCGAAGATGAATTAAAAATTTTAAGACTGAAAAAATAACTGATTAAAATAGCTAACCTGGAAATCTGGGGTTTCAGGTATCAGAGCACCTTCTCGAAGCCATTGAATAGTTGGCTTGACTTTGCTGGTTATGTGAGTTTTGAATTGAGCTGGCTGCCCTTCATAGACAACTAGATCTCGGAGAGGTGTTAAGGTTGGTAAATTCTCGGCCTGATCCGGTTGAGTTACTTTTAGTTTTGCGGCTACAGTTACACGGCCAGCCGAATTATAAGCAACGCACTTGTAATCACCTTCATCTTCGGGGAAAGCTTCAGATATACGAAGCGTGTACTCATCAGCGGTTCGAGACATTTGGAAGTACTTAGAAGGTTTGATCAGTTTCTCCCCTTTGTACCACTGAACAGTTGGGGCTGGCTTTCCAACAATCTTGCAACTGAATTCAATCGCTTGACCCTCAGTTACAACCTTATCTTTCAGAGGTTCAATAATCTCAGGAGGTGCATTTGTGGCTTTGCTTTGAGGTTTTGGTTTTTCTTTGGTAGCAGGAGCATTAACAGAGCACTCAGCATCACATCGTGCTTCACCAGCACTGTTTATTGCAACACATTCATATTTACCCGAATCTTGAGGATACGCTTCGAGAATTAGAAGAGTATACGTGCCATCCTCTTCTAGAATCTTGTTTCTTATATCTGGTTGGACTTTTTTACCATTCTTAAGCCAGTAAACATCAATTGGCTTTGTTCCGGTTACTTTTGTGTCGAATCTTACTAGTTGGCCAGCTGTTACGTTAACGTTTTGGGCAGTTAATGTAAAACTGGGCGGAGCGACACCTCCTCTTCCCTGTCGTCTGCGCTCCTCGACCACTAAATTAGCGCTGCATTTCGCAGTTCCGCCACGATTTTCAGCTACTGCAGCGAATACGGCAGAGTCTTCGACGAAGACTTGCCTTATAATCAGAATAGATTTAGTGCTAAAGGTGTGGATTTGGAAGTCTGCAGAATTTTTAATTGGGAAATTCTCTCTGTACCATTTAATAGTTGGCAATGGATCACCATCAAACTCAACCTCAAATCTGGCTTGTTCATGTTCGAACACGCGGCAGGGTTGCATTTTTTTAGTGAAAACTGGAGGTTGACTGGGTTTCACAGGCCCTTCCACGACTCTTTCTTGAGTTTGAGCCTTATGTTCCATTTCAGTTGTCTCGGTCGAAGTAATTTTACGGGTAATTTCAGTGTCTCCTACCACTTCCTTCTGAATTTGCTTCTGTTTAGCGACATGTACTTCTTTGCCATGAACTGTGGATTCAGAGGGCCCTGGAATCTTAGGTTTTGGTACAGCCTTCCTCTGTACTTGTTCTGTAGAAACTTCCGTTTGTTCTCTGTAAAAATAGATATTTTTTATAAGTACACCATAAATTCTAAAGCTTAACGCTTACGCACATATTAATAAAACATAGAGAATAATATATTTGTTGTGTTTGTCATGGTCAGGATAGACTCTTATAAAAGAAAAAATGGGAATTGCAGGGGTGTTAATTTCCTAGTTTGATACAAAAAGGTGACTTACAAAGTGTCCTCATATTTCTGAGCCATGCCTTTGGCAAGGGAACTGCTAGTGATTTTTTCACCAGGGATTGCATATTGATGTGTTGACTCCCTGAAACGACTTTCCTTAATAACTTGTTCGTTTTCTAATTCCTGCAATTTGTTGTAGTACTCTTCACTCTTCTTCTTCTTAACTGTTTGTTGCCATTCTGTTTCAGGCTCTTTAACCACTTTTGGTTTCAACTCAGGCCTGTGATCAATAACTCCCTGCCTTTGCAATACTTGTCTTTCTTCAAATGTTTTTTCCAGCTCGGTTTCAGAGCGCTGATATTGCGTTGTTTCGTCATACCATGCTATGAAAACAAATGACAAATTAATACAGTTTTCTTAAATAGAAGTAAAAAATAAAGACATACCTCTCCCAGAATCCGTTGGCAAAGCTGGCAGAAGCAATTCATTTAGCTGCACTCCTTTTGGATAAAGAGAGGAAAGGTAACAGGAAGCTGGGGGGGTACTTTTGTGCTTAAGCGGTTTGTCAATGTGTGCGTAGTTTGGTAATGTATGTTAGCGCAGTTCATAAGCTGTACTATGTGTAAATCAAAACAATATTATTTTCATAAATATAGTTAACTGCATAGTGAAGCGTCATATTGTCACCCTGATGTTATCATAATAATATAATAAAACTTACGTCGTGGAGCATTCTTCAAAACACCTCTGTAGTCGTCGTGTCTTGGTATTACTTTTAGTTCCGTCGTAGCTAACGCTTCGCCAGCTGAGCTTCTAGCGATAACTTCAATTTTACCAGTATCGTACTGTCTGGTTTTGGGTATGTCAAAGTGATACATTCCGTCGTATGTCAACTTGTATCGAGATCCCTGTAATAATTATTGATATAAATTATTTGTCGTGTTAAAAATATTGGGTAAATTAAATTAAAGTGTTTTAAGATGATTACGTTAACAATGGTGTTGCCGTTGATAAGCCACATCACACGAGGCTTAGGATGTCCAGTGACACGACAGCAGAAGCGAGCCCACTCGCCTTCTTCAACGGTTACTGGTTCTGGACGGCTTACGAAGACAGGTGGCGATCTAGCCTTAGATTCTTCTGCTGCTTGTTCGGGAACCCTAAAAGAAAACATTTTTCTATTAAGGTAATTTAAAAATGTACTTTTAAATTGATTACATGTACTGATGCTTCATATATAAAAATGTAGTTAAATAAACAATACATTTTGTATCAATTTGTTATAAACCGAATTTATTAAAAACTTACGTTTGCCATGCAGCTTCCATTTCTCTTATCTTTTCTATACTCTTCATATGTTTCGGCAGTTGAGAATCATAGACAATACCAGGTTTACCGGCTGTTTTTATAACAGCTCGAGTTTCATCCATACCGTACAAGTTCGTAGCTCGGCAAAGGTATTCGCCGCTATCTTCGGGGTAAACCCAGCCAAAGTTCATCGCCACGTATCCGAAGTCATAAATCGGTGTGAAACGGTTCTCTGTAAAATAAAACAAAATGAATTGATCTATCTAAAATCGTTACGTTCTGTGAGGTCGATATAAAAACCAACTTACTGTGTAGCAAAGGTTTTCCATTGAAGAACCATTCCACTTTCATGTTAGGATCACCCACCGGCGCCAATTGACATTCGAACTTGGTAGACTCCATTTCTACTAAGGTGGTTTGACTTTCAATTTGTGTGACGAAACGTGGTGGTTGTTTCTTATCAGCATCATACAAGTCATCTTCAGTTAAGAAGATTTCGGAAGTGTATTTCTTAATTGTAGCTTCCATTTGAGTCAAAGCTTCAGATTTCTTCATACCTCGAGGAACTTGGTTTTGCAGAATAATGTCTGGCAATTCTAAAACATTACAAAAAAGATTCTATAGTAATTACGGTACTCTAAAATAAATTAAAAATTATACGATACATTATGTAATATTCTAGATATTTTATTATTAAAGTTCTATTGAGAAAAAATTTTCATATATGTACAACTTAATACTTACGTTTACAAGATACAGTTGCCTTGGTAAAATCTTCGCCAATATCATTAACTGCACGGCATACATATTCGCCAGAATCTTCAGCATAAACGTACAAAATGTCCAGAGAAACGAATCCCATATCGTAAACTGTACGGTACCTATGACCAGAAGGTAAAAGTTTTCCATTTCGGTACCACTCAATACGTAATTTTGGATCTTCTTTAGGTTCTACACGGCATTCAAAGCGGACGCTTTCTGATTCCTCAACCGTGTGTGATTGAATCTGAGTAATAAACTTAGGTGGACTGCTTATAACAGGTTCTTCCTTTGGCGCATCACTAATGCGCCCTCTCTCAAGCTCCTTGATTTTCTCTCCGCTCATACCCTGTGGTAGCTGAGATTCCAATACAATATCACGCTTAGCACTGCAAGTAATCTTTGCCGTAGTTGTTGCAGATCCCCACCTGTTGGTAGCGCGGCAAGTATACTCTCCGGCATCTCGGGCATATATGTAATCGATGTCCAAAGCAATAAAACCAAAATCATTGAGCATGTGTACTCGAGACCCGGTAGCGAAAGGTCTGCCATTGTGGAACCAGTCAATTCTCATAGTTGGGTCACCAACTGGTTCTACGCGGCAGTCGAAGTGAATAGGACCACCTTCAACGACATCAAGGTTGTCCTTAATTTCTACCGTGAATTTAGGTGGGTTAGGTTTCTCATCTTCAATTGTGATTTCTTCTCGCTTGTGCAAGGTCTCTTCTAATTTCTGGATGCTTTCGGTACCAGATTTGAAGTGAGATGGCAATTGTGGTTCCAAAATAATACCTTGTCTTCCTTTAACTTGCAGTTTGCATGAAACTGTCGCTTCTCCATGTCGATTGGTGGCCTTGCAAGTGTAAAGACCTGCATCCCGTTGGTATACACCACCAATTTCTAATATAACAAACCCGAAGTCATTGATGGTCTTCACTCTAGATCCAGTCAAAAGGGGCTTACCGTTGTGGAACCATTCAACCCTCATACTGGAATCGTTAACGGGAATGAGACGACACTCAAAGTGAGCCGATGAGTTTTCTGAGAGAATTAAATCAGAAGGAGTTGTAGTAAATTCTGGTGGATTTCCAGTCTCGGCTTCCGGAATCATGGAATCGACTGTGCCGGTGTATCCCTCCAGAGCAGCAATTTTATCAATAGTGCCCTCCATACCTTTAGGCAACTGTGACTCCAAAATAATATTACGTTTTCCTTGAACCTTCATAGTAGCTGTTGTTACAGCCTCTCCGTAGTTATTGTATGCCCTGCATAGGTATTCACCAGAGTCTTCAGGGTATGTCGGAGATATTTCAAGAATTACAAAACCAAAGTCACAGAATGTTCTGAATCTGGAGCCTGCTTTAAGAGATTTACCATTCCAGTACCACTCCACCTAAAATAGAACATAAATTGTATGTAAATCAAGTAGGAGAAACTATTATTTATTAATCATTGTTTTGGAGTCGTAATAACGTCATGTTTAGAGGTAGGTATATTACACCTACTTTTTATTACTTACACTATTTTCTCTATTTCTTTTATTATGTCATGTCCGAAAATCTCAATGTTTTTTTCCTTACCCAGGAATCAAACGCCCTTGCTAGCTGTCATATTTACAATCATTCGAACAATGAGACTGACAATTAGATAAGCAAAAATTATTATCACAATTTTACAATATGGGTAAGTTCTATTTACCTTCAAGTTAGGATCATCTGTAGGAGTCAACCTCGCTTCAAAGTGCGAATTCTCTCCTTCACGCAAATTATCGATGTTTGATAGTGGAACTGTAAACACTGGAGCTTTGCCTCGCTCTTCATCCTCTTGGACATCCTTTCTGCGAACCATTGAGTCCTCAAGAGTTTGAAGTTTCTCCAATCCACCTTCCATGCCCTAAAATCAGTTTGTATTTACAGAACACCATCACACGTCTTATTCCCCGAAGAAAATGCTGAGGGGTGAATGTAAAAATATTTTCTTACAGTTACGTCTAAGGTCAAAGGAGCACAATTTTAGACATCGTACTGAGATTTTCGAAAGTCTTATAATGACTGGCTCTGTGCTTGGCGAGCTCAGCCTTATGACCATCCGACCAACAAATTATTTATTTTCAAAAGTATCAAGTAATAAATTAATGGTAACGTGATTATGAAACCTTCAAATTGTACTCACCCGCGGTAGTTGCGAGTCCAGGATTAAGTTCTCCTTCGACGTGCATTTCAATGTAGCCTTGGTAGAATCTCTGCCTAATTTATTAGTGGCCACGCATTCGTATACGCCCGAATTTTCTTCATAACAGTACAAGATATCCAATATAACAATACCAAAATCGTGGAATGTTCTATATCTATGACCATGCGGCAACTTTTTGCCATTGTAGAACCATTCGACTTTAAGATCCGGGTCGTCAACAGGTACCAACCTGGCTTCGAAATGTGCACTTTGTCCTTCCACTAATTTAGTGACATCTTGGATTTGAGTAATGAACTTTGGTGGTACAGCAGAAGCAGGAGCAGGCGCTTGCTGTTGATTACCTTGTAAGCTTTCTAATTCTCTGATCTTAGCTAAAGAATCAGGTTGCAGACTGTCAAGATAAACTCCACCTCTTCCAAAGCATGTTATTGTAGCTTTAGTGAAGTCTTCACCGTATTTATTATAAGCACGGCACACATATTCTCCTGTGTCATGGTTTTGAGTGTAAGCGATATCCATAACAACAAATCCAAAGTCAGAAACCATTTTGATTCTATTCGAGTGACGTAATGGTTGACCATTATGATACCACTCAATTTTCAAATCAGGGTCATCAACAGGTACAACAGTACATTCAAAGTGCGCTGATTGACCATCTTTCAAACCTTCAACATTTTGAATATGTGTAGTAAATCTAGGTTTCTGTCCTTTGCTCTTATCAACACATTCTAGTTTGACACTTATTTCAGCCTGTCCCCATCTATTAGTAGCTCTGCAGGAGTACACACCAGAATCGGTGGTTTTAGTTCCAAGTATTTCGAGTACTACCATACCAAAAGCGTAAACAGTACGGATGCGGTGACTAGCTTCGATTGTTTTGCCATTATAGAACCACTCAATAACCATACTTTGATCACCAGTAGGTATAAGAGATGCTTCATAGTGAGCTATTTGTCCCTCGCTAATGTCAACGATATCCTGGAAAACAGTAACGAATTCCGGAGGTCGACCGGTATCGTCATCAGGTGCCTGGCCTGGTTCTCTGCGAAGAGAATCTTCGAGGTTTTGAATCTTTTCCAATCCCTCAGTACCTTTAGGATGTTGCGTCCTTTCAATAAGGTTTTCTTTACTGGTACAGAAGATGGTTGACGAAGTAAACGCTTCACCCTTCTTATTGTAAGCCTTACATGTGTATATTCCACTATCTCTTTCATAAACATCTGTCACATCTAAGGTTACAAAACCAAAGTCACTTGTAAGTTTAAATCTAGAACCTTGCTCCAAAACCTTTCCATTGAAATACCACTCAATCCTAAGGTTTGGATCGTTTTTAGGTTCAACCTGTCCTTCAAGATGTAATGCTTGTCCTTCAATCAACTGATGTTCTGGTGCTACTGGCACCACCCACTCAGGCTTGGGATATTCAGCATCAGGCAATGACGTTCTTCTTGATTTCGACAATCTTGCTTCTTCAGCCTGCTCCACAGCTTCCAACCCAGCTTTTCCTTGTGGGTGCTGCGTATCGAAATATATGTTTTTGTCCCCGGTACACCTAAGTGAACCAGATGTTGTGGCTGAACCTTTACTGTTCGTAGCTTTACATGTGTAAATACCAGAATCTTCTTCATAAGTATGAGTAATATCTAGAGAAACATAGCTGAAATCATGTGTGCTCTTGTATCTTGAACCAGACGGCAACGGTTTATTGTTAAAGAACCATTCAATTTTAAGAGTAGGATCTCTCGACGGTTCTACGTTACATTCAAAGTGAATATTGTCACCTTCTTTGCACAGAATATTGTTCAGATGTGAAATAAATACAGGAATTTCGTAAACTGGTTCGGGTGCTTCAGGTTTACTTGATTTAGGCTGTTCTAATGCGCCAATCCTGTCTAACGATTCAGGATGGAGTGTTTCACCAAGTAGCCAGTGGCGATCTTCAACCTTTATGGAAGCAGTTGAAACAGCTTCTCCCATAAGATTGGTAGCTTTGCAAGTATAAATTCCCGAATCATCAATTCTTACGCTGTTAATAGAAAGAGTCACTAAACCAAAATCGAACGTACTCTTCAATCTAGACCCGGTAGTTAAAGACATGCCATTTTTGAACCATTCAATTCTCAGATTAGGGTCAGTTCGAGGTTCTACTTGGGCCTCTAGATACACATGTTGGCCTTCAACAAGTTTGTCGTAGCTCTTAAGATGCGTTGTGAAAATAGGCGCCTGTTGTACTCCGGAGTCAACGAACATTTCCGGCACTTTGTTCATAGCAGCTTCCTTTAGTTGTATTTGTTCCCATGCCTCAGGTCTCATGGCCTGGTCAACAATGGTAGACTTAGTCTTAACCTTTAATGCTGCTGACGACACTGTACTTCCGGCCTTATTTATAGCCTTACACATGTAAAGACCAGCATCTTCGGCTACAACTGAGTTGATGTCTAGTGTTACAAATCCGAAATCATGAGTTGTACGGAATCTTGAACCTGTGGAAAACAATACGAATGAATAAAATAGATCTTATTGTCATTACACTTAAATCTATAAAATAAACACTACAAAGATACTGATTTCAATAGATTTAAATACTGAACTTACCCATTTTAAGTTCTACTCCATTAATGTACCACTCGAATCTTAAGCTTGGGTCTCCAACTGGAACAACACGGGCTTCGTAATGAGCATGTTGCCCTTCCCATAATTCAGAAGGTCCTGTAAGAACCTGGGTAAAGATGGGCTTCTCGAATTCCCGCTCAGGCTCGTCTGGTCTTCTTTGCTGTGGTTGCTCAAGTTGTTGGATTTTCTTCATACCTTCCGGATGTTGAGTGTCCATCTGGATGGCTGCTTTAGCTGTGAAATACACACGTAAACATGTATTAGCATAGATACAGTACCTTACACACAATTAGTTCACATAAAATACTTAGTGTATATTTGGGTACACAATGGAGCAATAAAAAGCCCTTTTTTACAATAAAAAAACATAATATAATTAAAATAGAGTGTTAACAGTGGAGCGGACGCTGAGAGAATGAATGGCTACCCTTCTTGCAACTTTAAAATGCTCCGCGACGCCTGATTGTTGAACTGGCTATCATACTCCGGAATGAATGGACGTGAAAAAACATCTCTGCGAGAAATCTTTAAATTAATTATATATTTTATTCTATTAATTATGCAAAGAGTTATATAAGTGGCTAATTTTAACAAGTATAGTTTTTATTTAACTTGTAAGAGAACAAATAAGTGAAATTAACAATAACAGTGACGACAAGGACTCGCAATCTCAATCATACGAAACAACAACATAACCACCGATAACGAAGTCAACGCAAGGTAGATATTGCCAGCACATAACATAATGTCACAATACATCGATAAAACATGAAATTCTAACTTTAAATCAATAAAAATAACCGTTATCAACTCAAAATTACAATTTATAACAGTTCACTAAAGTATAGATGAGCGAATGACCCAATGACCAATCACTAACAAAGAAACATGACAAGTCAATTATCGTCCAGAAACTAAACGAACACGCTGAATACTCGTTTTTAAACTGCGTTCCAATATACGTAGCATAGCCTAATAGCAAATAATCATGGACGAATATAATAATATTACGCATCGTAGAATTTATAGAACCAGTTCAATGAATGACATTGCTGTTTCAAGAGATAACTCAGCACTTTTCGATGCTACTATGACGAGTCTACCTAATACTTCATTAAATACAAGTCAAACAGTGATCGACTTGACAGAAAAGGTGAAACAAATATCAGATGATTTATTAATAGCCCATCAGGAAATTGAGAACCTAAACAGTGAAAATTTTAGACTTAAATCCGACCTACAAAAATATTTAAAAATAATTGAAACCTACAAAATGCTAAATAAAACGGAATATAAAAATGCCACACCACAATCCGGAACAAAAAGCAAACAAGATTTACTTAGAACGCCGGCATTATCAACAAAACAAATGACGTCACCCTCAGTAATGCAAGTCACAAATAAGACAAATGAAATGACACTCCGAAAGAAAATTCATATACCCTCGAATTAGAACATAAATTTAAAAAAACTAAAAGTACCGACAAGTTACAAAATAAAACCGATTCTCAAAAAGAAACAAAGTTGATAGATAATAAAGAACTTATGGCAGACAAGTTGACGACACAGGAATTTAAGGAAAAACCGACATTACATCTGAACAAAGTTGTTATTAAAAATTCATCAGGCGCCGCGACGTCACAAGAACAACATAAACTGTGTATAATAAGTACAGGTTGTACAAAAGGAACTTTACCGCTAATTGAAGAAACATTCGCCAGTCATTTTAATTATTGTCACTACATACTGTCAAATGCTAACACAAATTATTTTTTAAGCGATATCAATAACAAATTGAAGTATTTTACAGATAATGATTACTGCTTAATTTTTATTAGCGAAAATGAGATAAAAAAGAGGGACCACATAAATATCCTCGACAGCCTAAAAAACTCGCTCACAAATATTACACACAAATATAGTAATTTGTGCTCCTACCTACATAAAAGGTGCACTAATTTATAATTATAAAGTTGAACTGTTTAATAACTTACTCTATTTAGACATAAGAAATAACAAATATGCTTACTTTCTCGACAGTAACAGCACACTATCGCATGAAATGTTTTCATACAAATCGGGAAAAATCAATAAGTATGGATGGAGAGATATTTACAGCCAAATAATGGCTAACATAATAATTGATTTTAAATTGTATAACCCTCGATACAAATGCATAAATTGTAAAGTAAATATAACGCAACAGGAATCTTTCATTGATTCTGACATTGTATGTGATAGTCTTTTTCGTGTATGAACATATCTTTGTACTACATCAAAATATAAATGGACTAATAAATAAGTCGGACTTACTAAGTATACATTTGAATAATTTTTTGGAAGAGGGTAGGCCCGTTGATGTTGTATGCATTTCAGAAACAAATATGAAGAGTGATGATTTTATGAATCTACATCTACAAAATTATAAAATTCAATCTTACTACGCACGAATGCTAGAAATGGGGGTTCATGTATCTACTAAAAAAATACACTCAAGGGTGAGAAAATCGAAATAGATAAATGGTGTATATCGAATATAATTGAAAGTTGCGCTGTTGAACTGCAGACTCATTCTATAGTCATATTATGTATGTATAGACCTCCTAAAAATGATAAAATCTCAATAAATTCATTTCGGAACAATTTAAATATGATTCTTACTGAAATTTGCTTGAAACGTAAAAAAAAAAGTTATTTTATGTGGAGACTTTAACATAGACATTTTAAAAGAAAATTATGCTTCCCATAGTTTTCAAAATTTATTAGAAGGTTTTAATCTAACAATAGGAGTCTCCAACCCCACCCGTCTCGGTAGCGGTACATGCATTGATAACATAATTCACAACATTAAGACGAGTAAATGTGACATAATCGAACTAGCATTGTCAGACCACACAGCGCAACTCATGAAATGCCCTATAAATAAAACATGCAAACTCCCATACTGGTATACATTTAGACGTAGTTATTGCAGAGATAATATAATGAAGTTTAGGGAGTGCTTAGGAAATATTAAATTTAATGATGTTTACTCTTGCACAGATGCAAATGACGCATTTAACTCTTTTCATGATACTTTTAAAATGTTTTATGATTTGTGCTTTCCACTTAAAAAATTAAAAAGGTGTACTTTAAATAAACCCAAATGGATTAGTAAAGGAATTATACTGTGCTGCAAACGAAAACGTCAAATGCTATATCAATTTCGGAAAGATCAGAAACACAGTAGTAGAAAACTATTTAAAGTATACTCAAGGCGTCTGAAAACTATTATTCGTCTCACTAAAAAAACTCAAAACAATCACTTTATTAACAATGCTAGTAATAAAAGTAGAGCTACGTGGCAAATTATAAATAAGAGTAAAAATGACAGTCCTATAGAAGGAATAGAAAAACTTAAAATAGCCACCAATGTACTAACTGATCCAAAGAGCATAGCTCAAACGCTGAATGACTATTTTATTGACGAAATTGAATCTCAATCTGACAAAAATAAGTTTAATAATTTAGCTTATAAAATTGATATGCATTATGACTCCATATTCTTGACTCCAACAGTTCCCAATGACATTATAAATTTAATAAAATCATTAAATAATACAAGCAGCTCTGGCTATGATGAGATCATAACAAGTGTAATTAAAAGTGTATCCCATTGTCTCACCAGTACTTAGTTATATTATTAATTTGTGTTTTGAAACAGCTGTATTTCCAGACAGACTAAAACTGGCAGTTATTAAGCCTATATTTAAAAAGGTAGCAAACAGGACCCATCTAACTATCGTCCTATTGCATTGCTTCCAATTTTTTCCAAAATATTAGAAAAAGTCATCTATAATAAAATATACTCATTCTTTGAAAATAAAAATCTTTTTGTAGATGAACAATATGGCTTTAGGAGAAAAAAGAACATAAACTTGGCAATTCTACAATTATATGAAAAAATTATCATGAGTGTGGATGAGAGGAATCCGGTGGCTGCTCTATTCATGGATATGAGCAAGGCGTTTGATTTTGTTGATCGCACAATATTAATTAATAAAATGGAACGATATGGAGTGAGGGGTAATGCCCTCAACCTTATTAAATCATATCTATCAAATAGAAAACAGATTACACAAATAAATAAAATTAACAGTAACACTAAAATTGAGCAAAAATATACTTCTAATCAGAGACAAAATAACTATGGAGTCCCACAAGGCAGCATTATGGGATCCCTCTTATTTATCATTTATATTAATGACATGCCTAAGATAACAGGTCATCCAATGGTCCTGTTTGCAGATGACAGCACAGTGATCTTCAGTACAAATAATAATGACTTAACACTTGAAACAGAGATAAATCAATGCTTAGGATCATTAATAGAATGGATGACCGAAAATAATTTAAAAATAAACATTGACAAGACTAAAATAATGACATTTGAACAAAAAACTAATCACAATAAACTTGACATTAGATACAAAGACAAAATAATTGCAGAAACAGTATCCACGAAATTCCTAGGAATAGAACTAGACAGAGACATGTCATGGCGAACTCACACAAATACCATATGTAAGCGACTGAATAAGCAGTCATACGCCCTATACAAACTCGCAAAAGAAGTAAACCAGAGTATTGTCATCACGGCGTATCATGCATGTGTAACATCGATATTACGATATGGTATTATTTTCTGGGGTAACTCCTCGAATACAGACATAGTATTTAAAGCACAAAAGAGATGTGTTAGGGCAATATGCGGTATTCAAACAACAGACAGTTGTAAACCGTATTTTGAGAAATTACGTATATTAACATTACCATGTCTGTACATATATGAGGTAGCAATGTTTGTGAAAGGGAACCCTAGACTATTTGAAACATTAAAAAGCGCGCGTAACAAAAATAAAATCCGTTATAGACAACACAAGAAAGCAATCTTCCACAAGAGCTTTTTAGGGATGGCACCATCGATATATAACAGACTACCTAAACATTTACTCGAAACCAGGGAAATCAATGTGTTTAAAGTAGAACTGAATAAATTTCTTGTAAAAAAGGCATACTATTCGATAAAAGAATATTTAACAAACATTGTCATAATATGACTACAGAAATATTGACATATTGTTATTGTTATTGAACTTTTATTTCTTGACATTGATTAATATTGTATAATTATGACTTACCTATTTGATATTTGTATTTTTCTTTAATCATTTTTAAGTATGTTGTATAATTATTTTAGTTTAGTATTTTGACAATATACGTTTTGACATATTGACATTGTATTTAGCATTTAAACATTATAAGAAATATTTTAACACTTTGATGGAAATAACACTGATACTTCTATTTACTGTCATGTACCAAGCAAAATCATAGATGTGTGATTGAATCAATTTACTTGGCATTATTGTAATTACTAGTATTTTTTTTTTTAATTTATTCTATAAAGCATGATTAACATAATATTTCTACACCAGCAATGGTAGTGTATGTGAAACAATATTTAATGTAAAACCTCAATGTACCATATACTTGGAAATAAATGACATTCTATTCATTCTATTCTATTCTATTCTATACATGTAGTTGTGGTTTGCAATTGGAAAGGCGCTAGGCGCCGCAACACTTAGATGAAATACTTACTTTTTATTCTCATAGCAGCGGTTGTTACAGCTTCTCCTAAAAGATTCGAAGCTCTGCACATGTATACTCCTTCGTCTTCATCACGAACATGCGTGATAGTCATTGAGACGTATCCGAAGTCGTGAGTTTTGGTAATTCTTGAACTGTCTTCAATGAGTTTTTCGTTCCTAAACCATTCAACCTTTAATGTTGGGTCTCCGACTGGGATAAGTCGACAGTCAAAGTGTGCAGTTTGACCCTCTTGAATGTTATCAATGTTTTGAAGAGGTTGTGTAAATACAGGTCTTTGGCGTGTAACTGGTTCCGGGATCTCAGGTCGTTTGAACGGTTCTGCAGATTCTAATTCACGGATTTTTTCCAAGCCTTCTGGACGTTGAGATTCCGATATAATGCTTCCTTTTGCGGTTACTGTCATTGATATCGAAGAAGTACATTGGCCTAGAGCATTAATAGCCTTTACTGAGTATTCACCAGCATCTTCAGGAACACAATGCTGAATATCTAATGACACATAACCAAAATCAAAAGTGATATGGAACCGTGCAGCAGATTGTAGGGCTTTGCCGTTGTGATAAAATTCGATCCTTAGGTTAGGATCATGCACGGGCTCTACCTGGCATTCAAAATGAGCTGTTTGGCCTTCAAAGACATGGGTAGTGCCCCGTAACTCTGTTACAAATCTAGGTGGACTAATCTTAGGTTCTTCAACTTCCATCCTAGTGTGATGTCCTTGTGCTTCAAGTTGTCTTATTTTTTCCAAACCATTTGGATGTTGAGTGTCCAATATTATACTTCGGTGCCCTGTTATTGAAAATGAAATATTAAATAAAAACATAGAAATGCATGTAATACATTCTACTATTTTATATGTTACAAACAAAATATTTACCTGCAACCTTCAACGTGCATGTATTAACTGCTTCGCCAAGCTTATTAGTGGCCTTACACATGTATGTGCCCGAGTCTTCAGAGTAGGAGTACAGAATATCTAATGCAACGTAACCGAAATCGTGTGTAGTTCTGTACCTGTGACCGGCTCTTATCTTTTGACCATTGAGGAACCATTCAATCTTTAGATCGGGATCATTAATTGGCTCTACTCTGCACTCGAAATGAGCTCGGTCTCCTTCTTTCAGATTTTCCAAACTTGTTAGAGCTGTCAAGAAAACTGGCCTCTGGCCTGGTTGCTCCTCTTGTACTGGTTTAGGTCTCTCATAATTCTCTAATTCTTGTATCTTTCTGAGGCGTTGTTCGTCTAATGTGTCTAAATAAAGACCCGCTTTAGCTAAAACATTACAAACAGTATTTTATTAACATGAGCTAGTGAAATTAACGTTAATATTTGAAAGGGAATGTGAATAAATGAATTTTGATTTTGATTTTTTTAAGGGTATAAATAAAAAATGTTGCATTCTGTTTGTTGCGTTCTATGTTACGTTGCTATTTTTACATTACCGTAACTATTTATTCTTACATCTTTTTGAATAGATTCTCGGCAATGAAGGCTATATTTTGAAATGCAGCTTAACGTTTCTCTTAGATTAACTTGATTTTGTTTATGGTAATTTGTTTAAATATGAGCGAAATATTGTGTACTTACCATCTACCTTCACAGAGCTTGTGGTTACGGCTTCACCAACAGCATTAGTAGCCTTACACATATACGTGCCGCTATCTTCTGAATAAGCATACAAAATATCTAAGGCTACATAACCGAAATCGTATGTAGTCTTAAATCGATGGCCCTGTTGAATAGGCCTGCCATTGCAGTACCATTCCACGCGCATAGTAGGATCATTCACTGGCGTGAGAGTAGCTTCCAGGTGGACGGGTTTACCTTCAGATACTTCAGCATTTTTCAAAGGCTTGCCAAATTGTGGTTTTTCTGCCACAAAACTCTCATCACGGACTACACGCTTGTATCTACTATCGTCTTCTAGATACTGAATCTTTTCGAGAGCGCTTTCGTGTTGTGTATCTCTTATAATAGATTCCTTGGCTGTAATATAAATAAATGAATAAGTAAATACAAATCATTGACAAAAAATAAATCAGGAACATCGAATGTTTGATAAAAATACTTTTACACTTACACTGCACATTGAGTTTAATAGAAGATGTGGCTTGTCCTAAGTTGTTTATAACCTTGCAAGTATATTCACCAGAGTCTTCTCCGTACACTGATAGTATATCAAGTGCAGCGAAACCGAAATCGTATGCTGTACGATAGCGGTGCCCGCTTTGTAAGACTTTTCCATTGAAGTACCATTCAACACGCATGTTTGGATCGGGATAAGGCTCAATACGGCATTCGTAATGAGCACTTTGGCCTTCTACGAGTCTGGAAGGTCCATTCAACTGTGTTATGAACCGTGGAGCCTGGTTGACTGCTACTTCAACGTCTTCTCTACGTTGATAGCGAGAAGAGTCTTCCAACTGCTGAATTTTCTCTAAAGCACTCTCGTGTTGGGATTCAAGCTGAAGAGACGCTTTAGCTAAAAACAAAATCAATACAAAGTTAGTTATACTTTATCCCGTTGTATAAAATCGATAAAATATACATACATATATTGTTCATTTAAAATAACCTTACTCGTAATATTTGAGAAAAGCTCTACAAGTTTCAAGTCACAACTATCCTCTTATAGAACATTTCTCAATTAGTCTACATGTGTAAACTGTTATTTCAATTTAATCTTACGATAGTTTACAAAAGGAATTGCACATTTTTGAGTAATTATTTTCTGTATTGTCTTCAAATAGATAAACTTACATTGTACAAACAGGGTAGATGATGTCACAGCTTCTCCTAATTCATTGATAGCTCGGCATGTGTATGTGCCGGAATCCTCAGGGTTAACGTATTTCATGTTCAAGGCCACGTAGCCGAAATCATGCATAGTCGTCAAACGATTTGCTGTAAAAATAAAAATTATATTCGTCAAACGTTCTCTCTCACTAAATGTTTGGTTAAACTTATGATGTGTATACTCACAAGCTTCGATGGGAACTCCATTACGCAACCACTCTACTCGGAGTTTTGGATCTCCAACAGGTATAAGTCTGGCTTCAAAGTGCGCTGCTTGGTTCTCAGCAACTCTTATATCCTTCATCGGCATTGTAAACACAGGTGCTTGCGTTATAGTTTCATCTTGAGCACTGTGTCTTTGATATCTCGAAGTATCTTCCAATTGGTTTAATCTTGGAAGAGCACCTTCATGCTGTGATTCTAAATAGATAGATTTTCTAGAATGCACAATAGCAATTCCGGATGTAACTGCCTCACCAAGAGCATTAATGGCCCGACAAGTGTATGTTCCAGAATCTTCGGGCAAACAAGACATAATATCCAAGGCAACAAACCCAAAGTTGTTGGTTTCTGTGAATCTAGACCCACTCTTCAGAGGTTTGTTGTTGTGGTACCATTCTACTTTCATGGTGGGATCAGAAACAGGTATAAGTCTACATTCAAAGTGGGCTCTTTGACCCTCTTTAATTTCAATATTTTTCAATGATGTTGTAAATATTGGAGCCTGTGTAGTAACTTCATCAACATAATCCGTCCTATGGTATTTAGATCTATCTTCCAATACTTGAATTTGATTGAGACCAGCCTCATTTTGAGTTGCTCTTATTATGTCTGCAGTGCTACGACAAGTTAATCTGCAGCTAACTTCATCTGTGCCAAGTAGATTAACAGCTCTGCATGTATAAATACCAGAATCTTCAGCAATTAAATCAATAATGTCGAGAGCGACATAACCAAAATCATGAATAGGTCTGAACCTATGGCCAATAGTAACAGGCTGCCCATTTTTAAACCATTCTACTTTCAAGTTGGAATCGGTAACTGGTTCAAGTTTGCACTCAAAGTGTACATGGTGACCTTCAACAACATTATCAATAGATTTTGGTTTTGTAATGAAGCGTGGTTTTATGTTTATAGATTCATCAACTACATCGCTCTTCTTGTAACGCGAAGAATCTTCTAAGTATTGAATTTTCTCAAGGCCTGAGGGGTGCTGAGATTCAAATATTAGATCTTTTTTAGCAATAACACGTAAAGCACATGAAGTTACTGCTTCACCAAGTTGATTCGTAGCTTGACATGTGTAGACACCAGAATCTTCTGGATAAACACTTAATAAATCGAGAGCCACGTAATCAAACTCATAGGCTGGCCTAAACCTGTGACCTGTTTTTATCGGCCTTCCGTTACAGAACCATTCTACTTTCATGGCTGGATCGCCAACAGGCTGTAGTCTACATTCCAAATGCACGTTAGTTCCTTCTACAGTCTCAATATTATGTAGGGCTCTTGAAAATTGAGGTGCCTGCCTCACTGTTATATCTTCATGAACTTGGCGCGATCTACGCGCAGCATCCTCCAACATTTGTATCTGCTCGACAGCTTGTTCATTTTGAGTGTCAGTAACAATATCCGATCGCTCAATGACACGGACCATGGCAGAAGTGTGAGCAGAACCTAAGTGGTTAACAGCCCTAACTGTGTATTCTCCAGAATCTGTGGATGTTGCATGGATAATGTCCAGTGCAACAAATCCAAAGTCATAATAAGTCCTAAACCTAGAGCCAACTGTCACAGCTCTACCATTATGGAACCATTCCACGCGCATGGTCGGATCGCCCATTGGTTCCAACCTACATTCTAAGTGAATATTTTTTCCTTCAGATATCGGTGCCGGGTCAGATAATGGCTGCACGAATACTGGTTTCGACTTAGAAATTTCTTCAATTTCGTACATAGGTTCGACAAACTTGGATTCTTCAATATGCCGAGTTTTTTCATACAGACCACGATGAATACTTGACGTATCAATACTTGAACGTGCTGAAAATAAAACCCTCAAATTAATAGTCTGCAAATGAAATAACTAGTTTGGTTAACTCTAACAGAACTATTGATCAAATCATCATTTTGTAACATATAGCTTTTAATCAAAGGATTCACTGTCTAGTGTCTATATTTAAATAATTCGTTTATAACGAAACTTAAACATCACATAAATTAATGTTTATTTCTATGTAGAAATGATAATGTTAGCATCATTATTTAATAAATAAATACTTACTTTCGACTGTCATAGAAGCACTCAATTGAGCTTCTCCAGATGCATTGCGAGCTACAACTGTGTAAACACCGGTATCATCGGCGCGGACACTAGCGATATCCAACGCTACGTAACCAAAATCATGGTAAGTCTGAATGCGATTGGCACTCTTGATTTGTTTTCCGTTGAAATACCACTCTACTGTCATAGTCAAATCACTCTGTGGTTCAACTCTTGCTTCAAAGTGAGCACTTTGTCCTTCCACTATTTTATTAGTGCCTTTAAGTGGTCCCAAAAATCGAGGCTTTTGCGTAACCTTCACCTCTTCTTCTGCGCGTCTTGAATATCTACTGGAATCTTCAAGATGTTGAATTTTTTCATATCCTCCTGGATGTTGTGATTCCGCAATTATATCTTTCCTGGTCACAATAGTAAGATTGGCACTAGTGGTTGCCTGACCCAAAGCATTATAGGCTCTACAAGTGTAGTGACCTGCATCATGTACAGTTACGGATTTTATAGTCAACGCGACATATCCAAAGTTAAAGAATGTAGTAATTCTTGAACTGGCTTCGACAGGACGTCCGTCTTTTAACCATTCGACTCTCAAAGTTGAATCGCCTACTGGTTCAAGGCGAGCTTCGAAATGAGCAAACCCACCTTCTTTAATGTTTATTTGATCTTTGATTGGTGTTTTGAATTCAGGTCGTTGCGTACTTTCAGGAGCTTCCTGATAGTACTTTTGATGTTGCTGTTGCTGATATGCTTCCAATTGCTCAGTCTTTTCAATGTATCGTCGCTGTTCTGGTATCCCAAGGTCTGCTGTAACTGTACTCCTGGCAGCTACTCTGATAGAAGCAGTACTAATGGCTTCCCCTAATTTGTTTACAGCTCTCACTGTATACGAACCTGCATCTTCAGCCCGTAGGTGCATGATGTTAAGGGAGACGTAACCGAAGTTGAAGATTGACGTGATTCGCGAGCTAGCTGTAATTGGTCTTCCATCCTTGTACCACTCTACTCTCATTGTAGGATCACTGACAGGAGTCAGTTGTGCTTCAAAATGCGCATTTCTGCCTTCTTGTAATTCACCAAGTTCTTGCAATGGCCTAATAAATTGAGGCCTCTGTGAAATTTGTTCTTCTATTGACTCTTGATGTTGATACCTTGAATAATCCTCCAGCTGTTGAATGTATTGCAAACTCTCTGGGTGTTGACTTGTTCTTTCAATAGTCGCTCGTGGAGTTACTTGCAGCATTGCTTTAGTTTCTGCAACACCTGTCGCACTAATAGCTCGGCAGGTATATTCTCCACTATCTTGAATATTTAGACTGAGCATATCCAGAGAAATATATCCAAAGCGGAATATTGATGTAAACCTAGAACCTGTAAAAAATAATAATATTACATGACTTTATTAAGTTTCTTTCACAAAATAACCATAAACATGACTGCCTCGTTGCCCGAGTGGTCGCAAGTGTGACTGCCGGGAAAGGGGTCTCGGGTTCGATTCCCGGGTCGGGCAAAGTATTACTGGGTTTTTAAATATTCTCAGTAGTAGCAAGGAGTCTGGAATTGTGCCCGGTATATATGGCAATAGGCTCACCCCCTATTACATGGGACTCATAACATAAATAGTGAAAAGTGGGTGTTACATTGTACAGTGGTATAATGTGCACCTCTGCCTAGCCTTTCGGGGATAAAAGGCGTGATGTTATGTTAATGTTCATAAACATAAACAAGGGCACGATTGCCCTAAAAAGTGGTCGCCCAACATACATATGTACCGTCAAAATCTTTGAGAAAATTACACATTATAGTAAATACTATTTGTGAGAGTTTGTACGTAAAAATCGTGTTAAATAATTATGTAAATTATAACTGTTGATTCGCAATTTAATGAATTTTAAAAAATCACACCTTATTTACCTCGATCCTCCTCTTTTTAACCGACTTCATTATTACTTCTATATCATTAATCTTAAAGACACACTATACATTTGGCTCACAACCTCTATACGTTATAAGCCTAATAACACTACCCTAGCTGGAAATCAAACCCAAACGCGTTACCCGGCAAAAACGCAACATATAAGTCCCTATTTCAGAGTATTCCTATTAAATGACAAGTACTCACATCTATCAATAAAAATATTAAAAAAATACTTACTGGCTTCGATACTTTGACCATTTTTCAACCATTCGATTTTCATCGTTGGGTCGCCGACAGGTTCTATCCTCGTTTCAAAGTGAATTTTGCCACCTTCCATCTGTGAAATACTCTTGAGTGGCACAATAAACTGCGGCGGAGGATAAACTCGATCTTCCTCACCTGGAGGAATGTAAGGTCTTGCCCTTTCCACGTGCCTCAAGTAAATGATTTCTGGTCCAGGCGCGGGCCTGTAAAACATGAGACACAATGTCAGTACCACGCGAGCGCACTAATCATATCGCACGTACGCTTAACTTGCTATTTATTTATTAACAGTAACCAACATTTGATTATACAACTCAAGTAAACATAAAACATACAATCAAAAAGGAATGAGCCCTAGTGTATCAAACAATTACAGGTAAGAACAACAGTCACTGATGAAAATATATATAAAAAGTTCTTAATTGCTAACTTAAAGTCCAATTTTAACATTAAATATACAATTTCATCAACTTTCTATGCGGATTGGATTATATGTATTTAAATATAATTACATAATAAAAAAGAAACACTTACTCTGGCTCGATAATCTTTGTAGGCCGGGGCAAGTGCAGACGCTTTAGCTCGGGCGGTGGCTCTTTTGGTACTTCGACATAGAGCCTGGCCCGAGTAGCTGTGGAGCCTGCGACGTTCTGGGCTGTGCACTGATACCATGCCGCATCCGACGCCTTGGCTCGCGGAATGTCCAGCGTCGAGGCCCCACCATCGGTATTAATTCGTAATTCTGGATTGGGTATTATCGGAACGCCGTCCTTCTGCCATGTGATTCGTGGTGTAGGTGTACCAACTGCACGGGCGTTTAAAATAACAGGTTCACCTTCACGTACACTTAAAGTGCTGAACCTTTCCACAAACTTCGGTGCAACTACTTGTTCCTTCTCGATGACGTTTAATCTGCACTGGAAAGATGTTTCACCGCTCTTGTTGCGTGCTACACAGGTAACTACACCACTATCACTGAGTTCGACGTTTGTAATCATAAGTGCATGATTACCTGACTCGTTTACTAATATCTTATGATTATAATCGTCTCGTATTTGTCTATCGTTAATGAACCACGTGACTTCTGGGTAAGGTCTGCCAGTGACGCGGCAATCGAATCGCGTCATTTTCCCCTCTGTAACATCGCGGTCTTGGCAGACTCTTACAAATTGCGGAGCGAGAGCTTTTTCACTTATTTCTACTCTTTCTTCAAATCCTGCTTGTTGATTGTCCATGACATATTGTGATCTCTGATCTTGCACATAAGTCTCTTGTGGAGATTCAACGGCGAGATATGCAGACGTTACAATGCAACCATTTGGATTTTCAGCCAATAAAGTGTAATGGCCTGAGTCAGACTTTTGTGTGTTTCTTACCCTAAGAGTTGTATGATTGTGTGTAGTAACAATTTCGTGTTTGTTGGAGTTCACTATCCTTTGACCATTTTTGAACCAAGTCACTCGCGGCCGCGGATTGCCCGAAAGTTGTACCTGGAACTGAGCATCTGCACCTTCTTGTAACTTGGAATTCCTCGGCTTTTGTGCAATTTTAGGTGGAGATACTGGTCCAAGCGTTTTGTCAACCTCCGTGCTGATATGAATATCACTTTCATTTACGAATCTCTTAGTGATAGTTTCTCTGAATGATACTTCTCTCAAAAGTCTGTACTCAAAAGTGTCTACTTTGAAATCTTCTGTGGATGAATAGTCTGTGCCATTGGTATAAGAGACTTTCTGTGTTTGTCTGGACTGTTCTGTGGAGTACCCCTGTGTACCATACGATTTGTGTTCCACGCTCTCACTGACGTGTCTGTAGCTTTGTTGCTGCGAGCTCTGATGCGCGGGCACCGGGACACCTTCGGGCTGAATATACACGGAGCAAATAGCTTCACCATATTGGTTGCGAGCCGTGCATGTATATTCGCCTTCATCACCTGGGCCTATCTGTTTAATTAGTAAAGACACGTCACCGGTTTGTTCATTGTAGCTCATACTATACTTATTGCACTCTACCAGGGGTGCTTTCTTTCTTGTCCACGATACAACGGGGGTAGGATTGCCTCTAAGTTTTCCTTCGAATTTTGCATTTCCTCCTTGCGCAAATCTCGCATTTTTGAAGATTTGCTCAAAGATTGGAGGAGAAGGGTCACCAGGCCTGCCTAATGTGACAGGCAAGCGGTCGCCAGCAGATTCAACTGCAACAATAGAAATAATTGAAAATAAATATTGTGTATTTGTAATTTTTTGAGACAAACGTAATTAATTTACTAAATATGTAAGTAGGTTGTACGCAAATGCAATCAAAATAAGTGAAAGGTGATATTTCGCTCAATGCAAACGTCTGTTAGTAGTATCATTCATTGTTTTTATATGAAAGTTGAAAAAGATCCTAAAGAATACAAATATCTTAATTTAGCCAATGAAATATGGGCATAATTATATTTTTAAGTAAACGCATTATTTTAAGAGTGTAACCTCTTCTAACCAAAGTATTTAGTTGATAGAATGCTTTGGTGCCAATACTTATTCTTCAGTTCGCAGTATACTGCAAGTCGAAACATTGCACTATAGCGAATAAATAAGTTTTAATCAAAAGGTTTTACATAAACAGGTGCGTGTGCTTATTTTCTGTGGTCGGGTAGATGCCGATGTTATATTAATGTCCTTCTGGTAGATTATTTTAAATCATTAAACACGTATTTTTATTTTCTTACAGAAACGAATACTTTCGACGATGTAGTGGTTTAAAATGTCGCGTGATGCCACTTCTATGTACATTTTATATGTAGAAATGACGTTTTAGCCCCCACTCCTAAACTTTGATTCGTTTTATCTAAGTATTGTTTTATTATACGACAAAATAAAAAAATACGTGTCTTATATTTTTCATTACCTAACTTACGGACTAATTACATCTAGGTGTAAAGTTCTCATCAATGCAAATAATTCGAGCGCAAACACGGAGTCATTTCTGTATTTATTCTCGAGGAGCACCTTCGACTGTCTTTCGGCTCCAATTCTATATCATATTGTACTGCTTTAAAATACGTATTGAAAATGTAACCAAACCCACTCGTTGTCCCTATAATTTTCATCAGGTCCTTTCAAGCAAAAGAAGAATTTTGAAAATCCTTTCACAATCGGGGGCGTAATCAGTGAATATACATGAAAAATAAAACAATCATCCGAACATACTTAAAAAAGGAGGAGGTTAGAATCTCCTTATTTAACAATTACAACTTAACATATCAATAAAGTTACGATGGGACCGGCATAAGCTGTGCGATATAAAAGTCTCTAAAATTGAAATGGAAATAAAGAAATACATATCAATAAATAGATAGGATCATTTTTGCAGTATTTTCTAAATGCAGCTTGTTTTTGAGTATCGCAATAAAAAACAGTACTTAACTGACGATTTTATTATATTATTACTTTTCTACAGATTTATTATATGTATAGATTAATTTTAATAACATAATATATTATTGAAAAGTGTTTCTAAAAGTAAAAACGTTCGGCTGTCATAACTAAGAATCTTATTTATTTGTATGTGAAAGTAGTCCATGTTCGTAAATATAGTCGTGTGATAAATATGAAAAGTTCCTGGAACACGCGCACATCGGTATTCCAGCTCTCTGTTCGGATTTGAACCGCGTGAGTCACGGTTGTGACGAGGCGAGCGAGCTCTTTTCGCGCGTCTATTTTAGTATCCACCACTGGGATCTTGTTACGATCACCATTTTAGTGGACTCTTTCGCTTTCTTATATATTCGAAAGATCGTTAAAATCAAAAATAAATCGTACAACCGTAACTATGGATATGAACTTTTGCAATATTAAATAATCTCTCGCTAGTTGTACTCTTTTCTACATACCCATGCAGATACCTATTGTAATTTTTTCTGTTCTGAAGAACATTATATATAAAGAACATATTATATATATAAAGTATAAGTACCTAGTGTTTAAAATGTCAAACACCGCGAAGACGACGGTAGTCAAAGGATTAAGTAGCTAAATTTTTGGTAACTTAACATTTCATTTTCTGTTCATTAAAGCTATTAACCGTTGACAATGAAAATAAAGAACAACGATGTAACTAAAACTAAGAAAAGACGTCAATTAAAAATGAAATTGCATTTCACAAAACATCCTGATTTCTTTTACAACTATTTAAGGTGCCGTACATTTATCGTCTGCATATTGTGTTTAGCAAAATGTTCAATTTAGGAATGGACAACGGTTCACGATGAAGTCATGGAACCGAGGACCGGTTCTGCGTTGCTGGTGTTATGTCAGGCGTCTTGCGTCGGTCGTGTAACTCGTCCTCATTGGATTTACTCACGATATATGAACAGCAAGTACATAGAGACTAATTTGGTACACAAGTTAGATAGTATATAGGGCTAAGGTTTATTATTTATTCCAAAAAAATTCAATCTTTTGTTAGTTAACCACCTCATCAGTTCAATATACAAGTAAACGAAGGTACTACTAGGCGACTTCCATAATGGTATGAATAACGAATGACATAGTTTACGCAAGGCAACTAACTATTCAAGGTTTACTTTTTAGGTCAAGGTCACAGGGTTCACAAACATGTTACTTTTTCAAAAAAATGTGCAGCTGTGCAACGTGGATTTATTATTTACCTATTTTATTTTTCAAAGCATACCTACAGAAAATATTCCCGTTGATGTATATTTAACAGACGATGTTTCGCTATTATGAAAATAATTATCCCGTTAAACAACGTTTACGATAGAATCGCACTGAGACACAAAAATTATGAAATAATTGCATTGATTGCTTAGGTACTTGCGAAATAAAATTGTATACATATAAAATAGGCCAATACTTAGGTAGCAAGCCCAGTATCACAATGTCTGACTAAGTTGCAGTTAGCTGACTGACACATATTTTGACATTTTTCGTACAAACAATACTTAAATAATCCTTAATCAGACGCTATGACTGCACGGTTGGCGCAATGGTTGGGTGACCGGCTCTTGTGCAAGGTGTCGCGGATTTGATACCCGCGCCGGCCATAAAGTAATAATGGCATTTTCTGAGTAAAATGACCATTATCAGCCCGGGTCAAGAAATCTGGCGGTGTTTCACACCCGTACCTTGGAAAGCACGTAAAACCGTTGGTGTTGTGCCTGACCTTTCTCTGGTCGTATCGGTCTGCCGTCTCGTCGGGGTCAGAGAGTAAGGGAACAGAGAGTGCACCTGTGTTTGTGCACACACTTGTGCACTATATCTCTTGCGTAGTAGGCTAGTCTAGTTAGACAGACAGGCCACCTTAATCGATCGGAAAATTTTATGAATCAAGCCCTGTAATTAGTAATGTTAAGTTCCGCTTCACTATGATAAATCTTTCTATCTATTGACTCAATCTATGGGCACTTTCAATTAAACGTCATACAGTTAATACCTATTTATAAGTTCAGGTAAAATGAGTATGAAAGCAGTATCTAATAAGAATTAAAAGTATATGATTTTACTTTCTTTATTTAAAATTTGGTTTCTAATTAACCAACCGCAAGAAACCAGAGACAATAGATCAGTACATGTTTTATTTAAAATTTACTGTTCTAGACCGCGTATTAAGTTATAATTTTCCACGTCCAGGTCAACTATTTGCGGAAAAAAGTAACTTAGTTTCATGGTATAGAGTGTGAACCTATTTCTTTATATCAAATCATTCTTCAAATCGAACCCGAGACGATTCGAGTTCGAGAAGTTCTATAGTTGTGTTTGCTTGCGGCCACGTGACCAAAAATGAAGTATTAATAAATAAAATAAATTCAGTTGGCGGGAACTGGCTCAACTGCTTCTATTGTCCATTCATCTCAAAGTACGCATAATTCAAATCGCGATTATTTAATCAAAAATCGAGATCGGTCCAGAGTTCTTAGTTTAAAATCAGTTATTAATTTCGGCGGTACGTTGTACGAGTTTTTGTTGACATCACGCCCTAAAGCGGCACACAGTCGCCCGCAATCGGACCACAGTCAAACCTGACCCAGTGCGCACCATATGGTCACTGGCCCTCGTTATGAATCATACATGTACTCGGCGAATACGAGACGTACGTTAAATTAGCTTTATTACATATACGCTCCTTTCTACGAAACGTATTGTAATACATGATCTATCTACTAATGTCTCACTCCTTATAAAAAATTGTTGGTAAGAAGAGGTAACCTAGTTTATAGAATATAGATTATTAAATTACCTACATGTATTTTACAACTTGTGTGCTATTATGAAGTTATTAAGCTTCATAAAACTAGTTTTCTTTTTTTAGCAATACCATGTAATCTGTCACTATGCCCGTGTCGCGATAGACCCCACCTTCTTGCTATTAGACGCATGCGACTCACAAAAGTGAGAGTTTAATTGAATACAACCTCATCTTTCTGTTAAATCGGAAAACAAGTGACGGTACCTATCAAACAAAAATACCTCTGTTTTTATTTACTCATTTATTCACATCTAGCTGTGCCCGCGACTTAGTTTGCGTGGTTGTCGAAAACAAAATAACATCGTTTAAATAACAGTAGGCTATATACATATAAACTCCACTCAAGAAGGTGGTATAGTATTTTTACAATTGCTATAAACTCGTATTAGCACTACATTTTTCAAAACAAGAAATAGAGTTTTTTCTTAAATTCTAAATGATTCTAACCTAACACATACGCACGTGCGTGCGTATACGTTACAAACAGAATTAAATTTATGACTGAATAGCGAACACGAAGATAAGTAATTCCTTTGAGTACCTACGGTATAAGTATGTACATAATACTTAATACATCCTAACCAGAAAACACTAGCCCATCACTGTATCCACTTTTTACAAGTATTATTAATTCAAGCATTTTTTAAATTTCATGTTTTTCTACTGCTATCTCGGGCAACTATCAAAGTTATTACAGCCGATATAATTGCCTGGCCCGCTACTTGGCGCGCGTAAAAGAAATTGCGGACCGCTTCTTAATACCAATTAATTTAATCATTTTTATTTATACCTCTTGTCTGCCTTGTAACTGGCCTTTTTAACGTTCACTTGTAAACATCGCTTTGTACAAAGTATATTATTTATTTTGTTAAAATATGTACACGAGTATTACACAGAACACGAGGAAAGAATTAAGATTATAACTGCCCAGATGTTTAATTT